GTGACACTGCAGGACAAAGTAGAACTGCTCCATATTCCTAAACTGAAATCTTTAGTGAGATCATCACATCCTTTGTCCCCAGGAGACACAGGTGGGTTCCAACTGCTGACCATTTGCATTCACTGGAAGATTCCTGGGCATACAGGAGATTGTCAGTGAATGTTTGAGGCTGACAGAGAGATCTCAAGCCAGTGGGCCAAGCTCTCTGGCCCCGCCCCTGCGGCTCTCTTCCACCCACATCTGGGTCACTGAAGAAAGGAAATCTGATAAACCCATTCACACTTCACCATTCCTCCTGCCCCTCCCAGAAATTTGCATTTTCAATTCAAAGATAGACTAGAGTCTTGGGACACACAATGCTGGAGCCAGTGAGAGAATGAAGGGCTTTTCTCTAGCCCTTTTCTTTCGCAGTTGGGGAAACCATGGTCCACAGCAGGAAAAATCTGTTGCCCAAGGTGAGAATCCAGAAGAGCTGTGCTCCATCCACATGGCACAATTCCACCCCATGGCTATTTCTACAGTTGGCCGGATGCTCACTGCTATGCTACCCCCAGTTGACCTTGCTGTGAAAGGTGAGAGGGAGCCAAGTGGTCCAGTCCAAGGCTCAGGGAAAGAAAGTAAGCTGGGGTTGGGGTGGAGGGCAGGCAACGGAAGGCCAGTTCGAACACAGCAAGCTCTAAATAAACAGAAAACTGCTGCTCTGGAACACTGATGTTGTTCTTCCCACTGGGAAAACTTCCCTCCAAACCCCACCACCCCTGACTTTCATCTTTCTTCTTTCAGGAGGGTCTGGCTTGCTAATCCTTCCTTTCTCCATCCTTTATCCACATATGACTCCTCAGAAAGCTGTGGTGACCTTCCTCAGACCTACACCAGCGTCCACAGCTTGCACGTTTTCCGGTGCCCTTTCTCTGTCTCTATTCCTGGTTGGACCCCTTCTCTATGAGGAAGAACAGGCAGATAAAGTCAATTGAGGGATGAGATGAGGCTGTGGGTGAGAAGGTCACCAAAGCCAGTGGTATTCAGACTTTTGTCGTGAACTTGGGATTTCTCTTTGTGCAGCTCTCTCAGCATCTCCCTCCACCCTCCAGCCAGCCCCCACATCTGCTTGCCACTCCTCCACATTCCTCACTCCTCATCCTCCCCCTCCCAGTCATTCCTGCTCCCACCCCCACATTCTCTCTGGCTACTCCAATGCATGGAAAAAGCAGTCCTCAACCCTTTCCTGCTCCCAGTCCTGAGATCGGACATTCCTGTATGGGATGGTCAAAGAGATAACACCTGGCACGGTGTCAGCCTAATGCCCCACGGCTCTCAGAGCTGCTGCAGGTGGGACTTCTGCTTACTTCTGGCCCTGGCTGCTCCTCTTTTCCAGGAAAGAGGTGGAAGACCAGCAACCTACCAGGAGGAGCGCAAAACGTACAGTTGGACTTCCATCCAGATCCACTTCCTGTCGCTTGAACTCAGATGTCCCCTAACCCCTGGAAGCCCTGAGGAACCCAAGGGAGACCATAAACGTGGCTGGGTGGCTCTGAAAAGCACAGCTTGGGAACCAAAGCTATCCAAAGGGCAGACAGGGACAAATGTCCTCTCCCCAAACATCACCCCAAAAACTGTTATCACAGCTGTTTTGGTTTAGGTGCATCTGGTCATCTGACCAACATCTGCCTACAGCTTGTCTCTTAAAGACACAGCTGTGCTTAGCAGCTTCTAGTCCCAGCTTTCTCTCCCGCGAGCTTCGTGAACTTGGCCATCCAGGTAAATTTCTTCACAAGTCCAGTGAGGACTCCTAACCTCATCCTTAGGAGGAGTCCAGTCCTAGCCTCACAGGGACGCTGGGATGCAGGTCAGAACATGATTCATAAACTGTCAAACTGGACTCTAGGCTTCATATCTAAGTTTGCATTTGTGATATATTTTTATCCTCTTCCTTAGAGCCTTTTGATTGTACAAGTTTCAGGCCTCACCAAACATGGATCTGCCCTAAGTGTTGCACAAATGTTAATTATTAGCATAAGTGGTTAAGAAGGAGGAACCGCATTCCTCCACATTTTCCTTCCAAGGTAGAAGGTCCGTCCCATCTTTGGAAAGTAACTTTCTAATAAATCTATTTTTACATTTTACAGTAAAAAAAGAGAGAGAGAGACAAGAAGAGCACAGGATTAGAACCCTAGTTCCACAGCCTTCACTGAGTTGCTTAACAGCTCTTGAAGGAAGTGCAACCAGGGTGCGCACCTTAGAGGCAAGGACTGTGGAATTTCATCTCATGTTTTGAGTATGTTGTCAGGAGGGACCTATCCTTGGAAAAAGACATCACGCTGGGAAAGGTAGAGGTTTAGACAAAGCCAGAAAGACCCTCCCTGAGCTGCACTGACACAGGGACCGTAACAATGGACTGGAGCCCATCAGAGATGCTGAGGATGGCATAGGATAGGACAAGGTTCAGATCTGTGGGTCATAGGGTCACCATGAGTCTAGTTCGCTCAACTGCATCCAACAAGAACGACAATGACATGTTTTCACAAGGAACTAATCCCTAATGAATGACTGTAGAATATCAGTAAAATTGAGGAAAATTCTCAGTAAGATTGACACAATGAGGGGAGCTCTGGTGACCTAGTGGCAAGAAGCTGCATTGCAATCCTGAAGGCATGTGGTTTGAACCCACCAGATGCTCTGGCTGGAGAAGGAGGGGCAATCTCCTCCTGTGCCAGTCGGATCTGATTTGATGAAGGTACACAAGGGGGGGGGATTGATACAGTGCCTGCAATAATGGACTCAAACGAAGCAAGGGCTGTAAGGATGCAGGACAGAGTGCTGTTTTGTTCTGTTGTACATGCTGGGCCACTATGAATTGAAAGTATTTGACAGCACCTAACATCACAAATGGAGATAACTTCAAGTGAGTTTGGGAAACTCAAGAGTCGTCGAGCCTGTGTTATGATCTGGGTCTAAAGGGGCCATCAGATTTCCTGTCTATCAGCCCAGAGCTTCTGCCACCACTGAAGGAAGTATTAGGAGGGAACTGACAAATTTATTTCTCTGGATTAATGATCTTGTTCTATGCAGTAGAAACTTTTTGATTGTCTTCTACAGATTATGGGTTATGCTCTGCAACTGGTTATATTTCCCAGCCTTTCTCCACATAGGTATGGTCACGTGATTCATCTGGCCAACCAGGTATAAGAGGAAGTGCAATTTCTGAATCACATCTTTTAAAAAGAAGCCGGTTGCCCTCCACCTCTCTTTCCCTCTTTTGCTGGCAGAAGAAATGACAATACTCCTGAGACTGGAGTGGTAGTTCAGGCAATGCTGCAATCCTGCAACTATCTAGGAGAAAACGAAAATCCTTTTTTTTAAAAAAATGGAGATAGCATTTCAAGGATCACTGTAAACCTTTAATTTCCTAACATTAAGTGAAAGCCCTTGACCTAGTCCCTTACTGCATAATCACTAATGAATAGTGTTTTTTTAATTATTGTAAACTTGGGGCTGGAAGCTGAACTTCCAGGGAGTGAGTCCTGAGGTCTGAGGTCCTGGACCAAAGTAAGATAGCACATTCAGCCAAGAGAAAAGTACGCTGTGAGAGATATGAGTCTTTGTTCCACAATAAGGGAAATCTGAGTTAGAGTCAAAAGTACACAATGTCCTACCGACGTTCCTTTCCGTTTGATCTAAGGGCGGATAACCAGACTTTTGGGTTACATCCATTTTTGCCTACCGAGCACCAACCATTACACACCTGTAGGGGCTCAGAGTCCCTGTCCAGCTTCCAGGGACTCGGCACAAGGTGGGATGGGAGGAGGGGATGCTGACGGGAGGTTGGGCGACGCAGGCGAACCAGAAATGGTGCAGTCTAGGCCAGGCTCCACGCCACACGAAGGAGAAAGAGCCGACAGCTTTACACGGAACATTAGGACGCAGCCTACTGGAGGCAATGCTATCTGGTTGCTAATTGGAATCTGGCAATTCGTGATGCTTGGTTGTCACTGTGGCTAGATATTTGTTTAGCTTTGCCGAAGGTCTTTTCCAGGTCGGATGAGGGTGAAGGGGTGAGCAGGAGAAAGAAATCTTCACACAGCGGGCGGGCCAGAGGCTAAGCGCGAGATGGAAAGCCAAGGGTCTGCCGGCCACCTCTCAGGCACTCCCGGCCACCTCTCAGGCACTCCCGGCCACCTCTCAGGCACTCCCGGCGCCCGCCGCTGTAGAGGAGTCCAGCCTCGAGGCAGGTACTCGCTGTTAGTTTCCAGCTGGGCTCACCCGCGGGTCCGCTAAAGGTGGCTGCGACAGAAATGACCTTTACAGCAGTTTTCCACAGCAAAGCCGCTGCACAAATCCCAACCCTCGCCCCGCCCGTCCAATCCTGCTAGCTCCAGAGGCGACGCTTCCCCCCCCACCTCCCGGCGCAGCAAAGGGCGGGGAGAGGAAATCCAAGCCTTTGGGGGCCCCTGGACAGGTGTTTGGAGGAGAAGGCGGAGTCAGGAAAGGGAGGATGAGGAGGGAGGGGCGGTGCTGCCCCTTTAAGAGGCGGTGGCCGAGCCGGGCCCTTTTCTCTTTCCCCGGAAGGAAAGCCGATCTGGGCTGGGCGCGCAAGGTGGGGAGGTGCAGGGTTGGGCGTGGGGAGGCGGGGCACACGCGGGGGTAGACCCCCTCCTTCGCGTCCTCCTTGCGGTTGGTCTACCAGTCCGCCAGCCCAGGATCTGCCGCCTGTAGGGATCGAAAGGGACCGCAAGGCCAAGGGGGCGCGGCTGAGAAAAGCTGAGGGCCAGGGAGCCAGGGGCCAGTAGTGACCTGATTTTGGGGGAGGTGAGAGACAGTACTGGTAGGTGGAGCAGGGAGACAGAGCCAGAGCTGGCGTGAAACTAACCAGGGCTGGGATCGAGAAAGAGATCAGCACTGCAGGACGCGACCGCGGAGGGCCAGAGTGCCCCGGGCTGCAGGTGGAACAGGTCCTCCCACCCAGCTCCGCGCTCTGCACTCTCACCCGGCCCCGTCTCCCGCTCGCAGCCATGGGCCCTGGCCCCAGCCACGCGCCGGGCACCCCACGCCCAGTGCTCTGTGCGCTGGCCTTGATGGTGGCCATAGGCAGCCGCATCGCCTCCGCCTTCAACCTGGACACCCGATTCCTGGTGGTGAAGGAGGCCGAGAACCCCGGCAGCCTCTTCGGTTACTCTGTCGCCCTCCATCGGCAGACAGAGGGGCAGAGGCGCTACCTGTAAGTGAGGTTGGGATGGGAGGCGGGTGAGTGGGAGGGTAAATGGCAATGTTGTGGGTGATGATTTGGAGCCGCGGCGCAGTCCTGGGCCCGCGGACTTCCAGACTTGTTACCACTGGCCTTTGGCAACAGAGGATTCAGGGACAAGGTAGCTACCGGGTAGCAGTCCTTGGTTGCTGGGGTTGAGCAGGGGGTAAATTGAGGGAGAACAGTAGTCACTGGCAAGTGTTGGCCCAACCAGAACATGCCTAGGTGAAGTCTCTCTGATTTTTAGACTTCTTCTGAGAGAAAAAGTGGGGTCTTGGTTGCTGAGTGCCCTCCAGTTTTGTGAATCAAGTGCACCAAGCACTAGCGTCTTTTTAGGCTGCTAGCAGAGCAAAGGTATGCTGAGCACCTGGTGTCACATGCCCTCCGCCCACCACACCTGGAGAGAACCTATAGACATATATTTAAGCCCGCCTCCCTTCTCCTGATACCTCCAATTTAGTCCGTGGCCACGCTGGCCACACCCTCTGCAGAGCCAGACTGGACAGTCGGCCTCCTCCTGGCGGTTGGAGGGTGAGTCTGGGCAGTTGCAACTGTCAAAGCGCTCATGCTGACCCCTTGAGGATGCGGAGAGTAGGAGAGAGGAGGGGCTGCCCACCTCTTCTCTTCAGTCTCCTAACCCCCTCCCCTCCTCAGCAGGGGCTGCCCTCCCCACCAGCTATCTTCCCCACATTCCACAGATTCATGTTGAATCTTCAACCCTGAGTGTGTTTGTTTTGGTTTGAAGAGGGAAATGGTGTTTTTCTTCTGGTCTCCTTCCCCAGCAAGAGGGAGAGGGAGGATCGGGGGCATAGGGAAGGAGGAGGAAAAGGACTGCCTGCCTCCAAGTGTTTGTCCCTTTCCCGGTTCCCAACACTTGTGCCTAGTAAGTGTCAAGGGCTTAGCGCACACTAAGGTTAGCAGATGGAGAAGAGGGAAATGAGATAGCCAGGGAGGGACAGTCCAGGCAGACCCCATCCATTTCTGTGAGCTGGTGGCCTAACAGGAATCTGCCCTTATCAGTATAAGCCTCAGACCTGACCCAGCTACAAGATGTGGTCAGATCTAGGATGCCTTGAAATAAATCCCTTCCAGTTTTGTTTGGAGCCTGCAGAAACTTGAAGAAGCTTGGAAATGTCCAAAGTCCAAGCTTTACCACAGCTTTCCCTCTGCCCTATAGGCCCAGCCCCTGCCCAGCCTGCTCCATCTAATTTCTGCAGGAGCTGTGGCCACCACACCCTTCCTAATTGGCCCCAGCAGCTGTGGTCTGGCCTTGACCACCACTTCATCTTTTGGAGACCCTAAGCTAACATCAGCAGAAGTTCTGTACCAGGGACTCTCTTTACTGTGGCCCAGAAAATGATTTGATTTGAATTAATGCTGAGAATCTGCATGATATTAAGGCCACACAGTGCAAAGAGATCGGACTAGGAAGCAAGACATGAGTGTGAATGCTTCTGTGCCCACCTGCCTTGAACAAGGTACTTCTCTTCTGGTTAGTCTTCTCCAAACAGGGCCTGGGCCTGGCTCAATAAGCTTCTTCCTACCTCTATTGTCTCAGGAGAGGCAATTTGGCTTTGTGGATGGAGAAGAGGTTCGGGGGTTCCACTGCCAGTGGCCTGTCTAGGGTCTATCACTGATAACCTAGCCTTAGTTTCCTTGTGTGTGTGTGTATGTGGAGGGGAGAGGGGCCATGCACCTCTCTCATGGGGTGATACCCACTGCCCTCAAGTTAGTTCTGACTCCTGACAACTCCAAGTTTGTTTAAAAGGTTTTCTTTTTATTATGATTTGAGAGATTTGCAAAGTAAAAAGCTCTTTCATTCAGCCATTCATATGCATTTTGTTTCCTAACATTATGATACTCATGGTGTAACCACACTCTTCCCACTTCCAAATCCTCCTGTCCATTACTCATTCTATCCTGCGCCTTTTTGCCTGCTGAGTTTATGCCTGGACAAACACTACCGTTTTAATCCTAGATGGCTGATTATTCTAAGGAGTGAGTGCCTCCCTGATATTATTGCTTACCTTATGTTGTCCAGAGGGTTTTTGGAGATTGTAAATAGAATGGGAGGAAATTGCTCATCTTTCTCTCACAGAGTGGCTGATGGATTCAAACCAGGTGCCTTTGGGTTGGCAGTACAATTAACTCTTTACCACTAGTCCACAGAGCTCCCTGTTTACCATATAGACCTGGCTGTTTGGATGCAAGTTTTTTTTTTTTTTTTTGGATGCAAGTTAAACCATCGAGATGAGTTTTGTTCTAAGTGATGGGGACAAAGGCCCACAGGCTTGGGGGCTATGTCTCTATAAGACCAGTAAAAGCCTGGCCACTTTTATGTTTTGGAGTTTTGTTCCATATTGGTATAGGGTTTTCAATGGCTGATATTTTGGAAATGGCTTGCCTGACTTTCATTCCAAAGAACCTATGGTTGGGTTGGAACTGCTAACCTTTCAGCCCAACACTTACTGTTCTTATGAGGTGATGTTATTTGTTGTTACCTGCCATCAAGTCAGTTGCAACTCACAACCACCTCATGTGACAAATTAGAGCTGCCCATGGGATTTTCTAGGCTGTAACCTTTATAGGAACAGACTGCTAAGTATTTCTTCCTCAGAGCCTCTGGGCAAGTTTGATCCACCAACCTCTCAGTCAGTAGCTAGAGGAGTAGTAGGTTTTCATGAGAAAAATAGGTGTAAAAGACTCCCATTCCAAAGGAGCAGCTGAAGGTTCTTTTGTCACAGCCAAGACCCTAATGTACTGCCACTGCTCATGGACCTCACCCAAGATGACTGAGCAGAGTTCTGCTTTCTTCTTGGAGGGCTAGATGGCTAGAGATGCCAAGCCCAGAAGGTTCTAAAGCGAATAGGTGGGACCTTCTGGCCCTCTGAGAGGCAGCCAGGCAGGTCTAGGGAGAGCTCTGACCACCTTGCCTTGGGTATCCTCAGGGTCTCCCAGGAGTGGTTCTATCTCTTGGCCCATCTCACTGAATTCTGCAGTGTATATAGCCTCTCGGGAGAGCCAGCTGGGCAGAGCTGGATTAATCTGCTGTCAGCTGTGTGGCCAGATGTGAGCAGCTGCTCAGAGGAACTAGTGACCCAGGCTGCGGCCTCGTCTTCTGACAGCCTCAAGCTTGGGGATGGGGTGGGGGGAGGGCTCCCTCAGGGTCCTGAGTAGGCTCTAGCCTGAGGCTCATAGGCCATTTTCTGGAGAGGCAAGGACACCTGAAAGTAGGTGCAAAGTCACACGTGTTGGTGTGTTCTTCCTGCAGTGGAGCGAGCCGAACTTTCCTCATCTCCTCTAAGACGGGCTCATTCCAGAAATAACTGGAACCTTTGTGTGGACCCTGTTTGCTGCCGACACCTTCACCTCTGACAAGGACTCCTTGCCTGTGACAGGGGAGGCTCTCCTCCACCCAGGCCTTATCCCAGGTCTCTGGGATTAAGGGGTGAGGTGCAGGGCTGATGACTAAGATGCTGTCATAGTGGGCTTCTGGGGGAAGAGATTGGAGGTCTCTGGGGAAGGAGCAGCACTGTGTCTCAGGACAGTGGTTACTGACCCCATCGCCAGCAGCTGCTTTGGGAATCCAGGTGTCCTGGTCTGACCTGGCCTTGTGGACTATGGGGGGGGGGGGGTACCTCTGCATGCATCTCCCTTTCTTTTTCTCTCCCTGTCTTCTTTGCCTGGAGTTCAAGGTGTCTTGAAAGCTTAGGGGTGGGGGTGGGGGTGGCTATAGCTTCTGTAAGATGAGGTCATTCCTGTGCTAGGCAGAAGCCAGGATTACTCGCTCGACTAAAACATGTTTCCCTAGGCAGGGCAGGCACCTGGCATCCTCCAAGGCTCGTGCCAGGCAGAAGCGGGCCCTGCAGTGATGACTGCCAGTCAGAGGCCTCCGTGTCCTGCTAACCCCTCTGACAAGTCCAGGCCATGGGTCTTAAATATGAGGTTTGGGAAATCGAAACTTTTAGAAAACAGTATGAGCGGATTTGGTCAAAACTCAACAAAACCAGAAGAGAAATGTCCATTGCAGCATGTGAGATTTAGGTTAGAAGACGAGAAATACTTTCTAAGTGTCAAGCTTGAGGGGTGGGGGAAAATAGGAACAATCTAATGAGAGAGAAAAATGAAAAGCACAGCCCTGTTCTGTTTTATGTTGGAGTCTCTCGGGTCGAGGCCTCGCTCCCGTTCTCTCTCATGGGCTCACTCCCTCCAGCTTGTTGAGGGCTGAGTCACCCTGGGGAGAGGGGGCTGGGTGGGCAAAGGAGCTGCATTGGGAGGACTGAGAAGGCAGTAGTTAGTCTCTCTCAGCTACCATAGGAGCAGTCCCTGGGGAGATGGCTAATTTGGGAAGCCGGATTTAGCTGGGATCTGGGCATTTGAGTGAAGACCTGGCCTCACTCCCTTGCAGCTCAGGGCTGGAGCAGATCCCCTCCCCCACCTGTTTTGACCTGGGTGGGAGGGGAACTTGGGGGGGGGGGGCTCAGGCAGGACCTGAGGAGTAAGGCTTGGACCGAACCCCAGGTTCTCTTTGGCCATCACCTTTACTTAAGCTGAGTTAATAGAAGTTCCTAGTTGGAACCACCCTAGTGCCTTGTCTTTGGGGTAAACCCACCCCGGGCCCTGAGCTCTCCTGGGCCCCATTCCTCAGCCTTCTCTAGATTTGGCTTATTTTTATTATGCTGTTCCATCAGTTTTTAACTGCCCTGGGAGGAGTGATCGCGCAGGGGTGAGGGCGGCTTTTCCGGAATCTGGAACTCTGAGGGCTCCCCAGGGGCCAGGAGTGGCTGTCTGGCCAGAGGAGAGGGTGAAGAGGCCACTTTTTGAAAGCCCTGGAAAGGTCATTTCACCCATCCCCTTGCCTCCAGGGGGGCTCCATGCTGTCAGCCCTGTGTCTCCCAACACAGGAGAAGGGTGACCCGTGACTTCACATCCTTGCACTCAGACCCAGCAAGCATCCGTCCCTCCAGCCTCACTGCACCTGGCAGAGGGCAGGGTAGGGCAGGGCAGGGCAGACTCAGTGGTCTGAGAAGGGTCAGCTTCTGTCTTTGATCTGAACCAGATCCCACAGCAGGCTGAAGAGGTATTTCTTCACATATTCTTTTACATGGTATTTGCACGGCAGTAGGGTCTCTCTCACACCTGACACCCTCTCCACACCCGCTTTCTCCCATCCACGCACAGTCCTCTGGCTGTAGACCCATTGGATGCCGGGATGGGAGCCAGAGGGCCTCAAAGGGCCTCTAAGCGGGCCAAGTTAGAGCTAAAAATACTCTAAGGGGGATGGAGGGGGGCTCCCTGTGGAATCTCTGGGGAGGGAGGAGTCTAGGATGGAGGATGGCAGGTCTTGCCCCACTCCCACCCCACTGCTCTAAGCAAAGCTAGTTTGGGGCTTAGGGAGGGTATAGGTAATGAGTTCCCACTTGCATCCAGCTCTGTCTGCTCCAGAAGGCTTATGGGGTAGGTGGGCAGGGAATTAGCCTTCTCCTGCCCCACAGCGGGAAGGTCTGCAGGCAGAGGGGCAGATGTATCCAGTGTCCTTAAATACAACATGGGTTCAAGTGCTTGGTCTAGACCCCTTCAACGTCACTGTAACAGCTCCCACCAGATATGAGAACTCCCCAAAACTAACCCTAAGTGGCAGTGGCCCCCAGTGCCAATCTCAGTGATAGCTTAGCTTTAGGGCAGGGAGCACCCTCCGCTCCCTGTAAACTTCCGAACTCATTTGTTCTGCTTCAGATTCTCTAACCTGGTGGGCAGGGGTTCCTGGGAGGGGTCAGGGACCTTGCTAGGGTTGGTGTTGGTCCCACAGGACAGCAGAGCCATGGTGCTCACGTTGGCCATGGGTGTGCAGCCCCCTTCATAATAAGATGGATTCATCTCCCAGCAGCCCCGGAAGTTGGTGGGAGGGCTGCCGTTCCATTTCATAGAGGAGGCACTCAAGGATCAGAGAGAAAAGGAAATTGCTTCTTGATGCAGAACAAAGCCTAGTGTGAGGTGTCCTTTTCCCATGCGCCCATGCTTCCTTCTTAGGAGTGTCGGGCGCACCAGGGGCCAATGTCCATAGGTGGCCAGTCACTCTCCACAGCCTAGATGGAGGGTGACTAAGTGGGCTCGGCTATTTGATGGCCTCCAGCCAGCCAGCCTACCTGAACAACACTCCTAACACTGCTCTGTTTGGAGAAGCTGCATGCTGCACCCAGAAACACTTCCCCCAGGCGGAGGACAGAGGTGCAGGCCGGGGCCCCGCCCCTTCCCAGCACCCCCAGGCAGTACATTCCTGACACCCAGTAGGTGGAGGCAGCTCAGGCCCCAGCATGCCCAGGTCCTGTCCTACCCACTCCCAGCAACCCTCACTCCCAGGGCCCAGGCGGGAGCTGCAGGCAGGCTGTGGCTGGGCCCTGCCCCCACTCTGGGAACAGGTCCAGAGGCCTTGATTCTGAACTGGGAGTCTCAGCATAATGGGGTTGCTGCAGCCAGGTAGAGGGACACCTGTAACAGGCTCCCAGGGTTACTGATCGGAGTGGGGTGGGGTTCCGAGGAGAGCCCTGAGAGGCTGCCAGGACGGCATAGGATGGTTAGTAAGTCCGGAGTCTTAAATTATGAGAGCACAGTATTTGGGAGGCTGTTAAATATACAGTTCCTAGTCAGTTCTGACTCAATGGCACACAACAACAGGTGATGGAAAGAGAGTTCTGGCAGCCTAGTGAATAGGGAATTGCACTGCCAATGCAAAGGTTCAAGGTTTGGATCCACCAGCTGCTCCTCTGAAGAAAGATCTCATGCTGTATGATTTACAGCCTCTGAAAACTTGCTGGAGGGTCAAGTCATGAGTCAAGTCCAACTCGATGGCAATGAGTTGAATGGGTGACGGAAAATGTGGCAAGTGGATGAGGTTGTATCATTGAATGGTGTATGTGAAAATGGTTGAAATGACAATGCTTCGTGACATATGTAATGACTAAATTTTTTTTTTAATTTTTATTTATTATTTGTGTGTGTGTGTGTGTGTGTGTACCATCAAATTGGATCTGACTGGTACAGGAGGAGATTGCCCCTCCTTCTCCAGCAGAGCATCTTGTGGATTCAATCTGCGTACCTCTGGGATTGCAGTGAAGCTAATTATTATAATTTTTAAAGAACACCTTAAAATATGTAGATCTCAAGGCTCTGCTCCCAGAACTCATCTATGGGCCGAGAAACTTGCCTTTTTAGCAAATATCCCAAGGATGTCTGATGCTGACAGTGCATCTTTTGAAATATTACTTCAAGGCTAGTCTTCTGCTTCTCCTCTTCATCTCTGGGATGAGATGGGTTGCCAGGGCAGTGAGGCTGCCTTCTGGAGCCAGAGCCCTTCGCATCCTTGTAGGGATCTGCCATCACTGTCCCCAGTGATGGGCACTGGGCCTTGTCCATCCCACCCTGTACCTGTGGTCCTGTCTCAAGGTTAAGGAGGAGAGTTAGCCATCACCCTGTACTGGGATTTGAACTCTATGCCAGAAGTCCTCCAAGCTTGCTCTCTCCCGGTCTACCTTCATCTCAGAGGCCAATGCATTCTTTCTCAAACCCAAATATGACCACGTCACTCTCTTGCTTAAAATTCCACTGTGGTTCCCCCAAGGCCCGCCCCCCATCCTGGCCTCTGTCCCTCCCTGATGTTCCCAGCTTCCAGCTATCCCCAGCACCTCGCTTCTCCATGAATCACCCTGCTTGCTCATGCTTCCTGGCTCCTGAATGTGCTGTACCATTGCCTTAAATGCCCTGCCTCACCTGGAGAGTCCTGTTTATCACCCTCAGACCAAGTCATCTCTTCTAGAGGTTTGCGCCCTGGCTGCTCCCCACTCCTGGTGCACATCTTGTGGTGCCTGTGTCTTTACCTGCCTCCCCCTCTACTGCACCCTGAGGTCCATCCATCCCCTCCATCGCCTCACCTCCAGAGCCTGACATGGAGCCAGGCGCAGAGCTGAAGCTCAGAAACACACACTGAACAGCACTTGTTTAGAAGGGACCATCCAGAGTCTGAACCCAGCCTTCCTGCCTCCCCACCACCCCCTCAGGCTCCTGGCTGGTGCCCCCCAGGACCTCGCTGTGCCTGATGGCTACACCAATCGGACGGGTGCCGTGTACCTGTGCCCACTCAGTGGCAACAAGGACGACTGTGAACGAATGAACATCAAGGAGAGAAGTGAGGGGAAGGGGCAGGGATCCGGGGTGGGTCAGGAGTAGGAGTTGGGGATGTGGGGGTATCACAGGCATAAAGACCAGAAGAGAGATCGGAGTGCCTCTCCAGTTTCTAGTCACCTTTTGTCCAACTAGGAAGGCGAGCCTGAGAGAAGAGTGGAACTGAGTGGCATTTATGGGATTTGTCGGACTTGGATGAATGTTGGGGCTGGGAAGGCGGGCAGGGAGGTCTGCTCTGCTTCAGTAAAAGGCCCTGCCCCTTAGTCCTTAGGGCACAGGGAGCTGGAGCAAGCTGCCCTAGCTCACGATTCCTTCCATGCACAGGTGACCCCAATCGTCACATCATTGAAGACATGTGGCTCGGGGTGACTGTGGCCAGCCAGGGCCCGGCAGGAAGAGTCCTGGTAAGTGGCTAGTGACTAATGGCTCCCCACTCCCACCCCCCCTTTCTCCTCTCCCAGGGGACAGTCAGGGTAGCAGAGGACCAGAGAAGAGACCTTGGTATGCGTGCTAGGCCTTGGTGGGTGTCCCTAGCTCCCTGTACTAGGAGTTGGGGAAGGGTGGGAGGCTGGCACTGTCACAGGGTGGGCCTGGCCTGGCTTCTATCTGAATCACCCACTTCCTCTCCACCCCCACCCTGGATGCTTACCCATCGTGGGAACAAACTGAGGGATCTGGGAGGAGGAAAGGGCAGAGAGAGCCTCAGGCACTCAGCTCTGGCCGGCTCTCCTTCCTGGGAGGCGGGCACGCGGGTGGGCAGACGGAAGAGACGCAGCCCTGCTGACCGTGGCTCACCCAGGTCTGCTGTGGAGGCCACTTCCTTGATGTCACTTGTCATCTCCTGCCCAAATCCTTCCATGCAGGCCCCAGGGCTCTCGATTTGAGTCCCAGAGAGACAATATGTAATCATTGATGTAAAATTTACTTATAGTAAAAATGCAGATTTTGTGTTAGTAAATGTTGAAAAATACATACGCCTATGTAAGCAACACTCGTTACAGACATGACACATCCACGTAGCTCTAGAACGCTCTCTTCCCCTTGATCACCCATCCCAGCAGCCCCCGCAGCTTTTAGGTCCAGATTCACATTGGCTCAACAACACCTTTTCTCACTCATTTCCAGGAAGTCAGAACCGACTCATAGCTGACCCTCTAGGGGGTTTGTCAGAGGTTATAAATTGCATGGGAAAAAGAAAATTGTAATAATAATTGCAAAGGAGGAGACTATCCATCTTTCTCCTGTGAAGCATAGTGGATTTGAACCACCTGCCTTTTCATTGCTAGTGTAATTTATCCACTAGGCCACCATAGCTCCTGATACCTTTCCTCGATCTCTGTTGTAGTCGATTGTGGGATAGCTGTGGATGCCATCTGAAGCTGGTTCCAGATCCTGGGCTCTTTAGGCAGCTCTCTGCTCATCCGTCCATTCCCTCACTCAACCAATACTTAGTGAGCCCCTACAGTGACCAAGCACTATGCTTGCTCTGGAGATAGCACAGTGGCTCAAGACAGGCTCAAAAAAGCAAGTAAGCCCGGCTCTGGGTTTTGCCTCAGCCTAGGTGGCCTAGAGGTAAGAAGCTGTGCTGCAATCCCAGAGGCATGCGGTTCAATTCCACCAGTTTCTCCAAAGGAAAAGGATGGGCAGTGTCCTCCCAGGTGATTTACTGCCTCTGAAAACCTGCTGGAAGCGGATTCCAACTTGATGGGAAACAATAACAGGCTATTTCCAAGTTAGTACAGCAGTTAAGGGCTGGGCTACTTACAGAATGATTCAAACTCATCAAGGGGAGAAGGAACGGCTGATCTGTTCCTGCACAGCTGACAGCGTGGGAAACTATGGGCAGTTCTGCTCTGTTCTGGGGGACTGTTGTGAGTGGGAAGCAACGCCATGGCACACAACCACAGGCAGGTACAGCTCTCGGTACTTATCTTTCCTTATCTCTTTCCTTGTCTGTTGAAAACAAACAGTTGCCATGGACTGGATTCTGACTCATGACCACCCACCCCATTGAGAGAGTATACCTATGCGCCACGGGGCTACCTAGAGTGGATTTTTTTTTTTTGACTCAGCTGCTAAAGCCTGAAGGCTAAGTGGTTTGAACCCACCCAGTGGCTCTGTGGAAAAAAAAGTTCTGAAAAACTGCTTCTGTGAAGATTGTTATTGTGGGTAGTGGAGTCAGAACTGACCCTCCAGCAGCTTTTCAGAGGCAGTAAATTGCACAGAAGGAGATTACCCATCTTTTTCCCACAGAGCAGCTGGTGGATTCAAACTGTGTGCCTTTGGGATTGTAGTGCAGCTTCCTACCACTAGGCCATCCAAGCTGTGAAGATTACAGCCAGGAAATCCTATGGAGCAGTTCCACTCGATCACACAGGGGAATGGGGGCCCACTCAAGGACAGCTAATGGCAACAGATTACCAGGCCATTCTTCCGAGGTGCCTTTGGATGTACTTAACCTTTGGGCTAACAGCTGATTGCATTTGCACCACCCAGAGCCTCCTCAAGCACAGAGGGGAGTGGAGTTCAGTAGTAGAGTTTCCCCCGTCCTGTGCTGGAGAACCAGGCCCATTCCTCAGTGCTGCACCCTACTGCCTCCCTACCAACCATGGGGGTGTCTCAAATCCAGGAGTCAGAGACGGCTGGGTGGCTGCTAACTACAGATGTGAGATGTTGGCCAGGCTCCTTGGTCACTGTGCCCTATAGCCTTTAAATGATAAAAATACTCCATCGGGTTGTTAGGAAGCTTGAGAGCCAACATGTGAAAAGAGCTTAGAGTTGTGCCTGGCATACTCCGTATCCTAATGCAGATAACATGCATATGTGTACCCCCACAGTGCACTTATTTCCTATACATGCTCTGCATGTTGTATGCATGTGCCCATTATTTACATGGGTGCACTGTTTGTGAAAATGCACTCAGGAGCACTCAGTAGATGTTAGCTGCTAGGACTATCATTATTATCACTATTCCTGATTCTTAATAGTCTTTTCATTAAGAAGACAAGAACATTAGGGAACAGAGAAGGTAATGCTCTGATCTGCTCTGTAACCAGTTCCTTTCAGATCCAATGAGCCTGAACCTTCATTCATTGCCAAAGTCTCTAAGCCACTCTCAATCCAATACTTCTTGACTTTCCAAAAGGTGTTTCCAACCTTCAGAACAAGTTTCTGAATTCTCATCACTGTGAGAAGGAGAAGCCAGCATCTTCTGACTGCTGTCCCGTGAAGCCAGAGGTGTACAAGGCAGAGGAGACAGCTGGCCCTGCTGCAGGCTCAGGCGGTGTCTTTTTTGGGGGTTCCCCAGGTCTGCGCTCACCGATACACCCAGGTGCTGTGGTCGGGGGTAGAAGACCAGCGGCGCATGGTGGGCAAGTGCTACATGCGAGGCAATGACCTTGAGCTGGACACCACGGATGACTGGCAGACCTACCACTACGAGATATGCAACAGCAACACTGACTACCTGCAGACGGGCATGTGCCAGATGGGCACCAGTGGTGGCTTCGCCCAGAACACTGTGTTCTTAGGGGCCCCTGGTGCCTACAACTGGAAAGGTAAGGGCCTTGGGGTGCAGGTGGGGAGAGGAGCAGAGAACACTCAGCTGTTGGGACAGCCAACCCACACCCTATACACTAAGAGGCAAAAGAGGCCGTTGATATAAAAATGAGGCCAATATACAAACTGCTACTACTATTTTAAAACACCTACTATGTGCCATGTCATTCCATGTATTACATTAATTCATCTTTATGGGGCAACTATTATTGTACCCACTTTACAGAAAAGAAAATTGAGTCTTTAACACATTGCCACACACTTTTAAATTGACGATCGTATTTTTTTTTTTTTGACGATCGTATTTAGAAACACATTTTTTTCCCGAAGTATTACCATCATTTGCGGCAATGTGTTAATGATAGAAATAGCAGTAAGTTATGAAACTTGAATTAAAAGTCCAGGTCCAACTGAATCCAGTTTAAACATTTAAGAATAGTTTATAAAATAAAAACATGTTACTGGTTTAACAACATATTGGTTCCCAGCGTTGTCATAACAAATGACCAAAAACTGGGTAACTTCAAACAACAGAAATGTATTCTTGTACAGTTCAGGAGGCCAGAAGTCCATAACCAGAGTATCAGCAGGCTCTCTCAGAACGCTCTAAGGCAGATTCTATTCCACGCCTCCCCCCTATCTGCCGGTGGTTGCAGGCAATCCTTGGCATTACCTGGCTTATAGCTGCATCATTCTAATCTCAGTCTCCATCATCACCTGGCCTTTTCTGCATGTCTCTGCCTTCTCTGTGTGTCTAAATCAATCTCCCTCTCTCTTCTCTTAGAAAGACACCAACCATTTCAGGGCCCAACTTACTCTAGTATGACCTCATTTTAATTTTATTACATCTGCAAATTATTTCCAAATAAGGTAGTATTTTGAGTTTCTACATGAACATGAAGGATTTTTTGGGGAGGAGGTGGACACTATTCAATAGACAACTAAATAATATAATAGGATTTGGTAAAATAAAAGTACCCCTCTTCTACCCATCCTCTTAGTTCCATTTCTCAATGAGTCCCTTCAGACATTTTTTAAAAGAATATGTAGTTATTTAGGTTTTACATCTAATATAAGCAGAATCATACTCAATATGCTATTCTGTTACTTTCTCTTTTCAATTATTATTATTAAGTCTTAGTCATATTTCATAACAATACATATATGGTGATCTTTTTAGGGTTTGCAATTATTTTGAAACCCATGCTTAGAGTTACCACACTGTACACTGGCCTGCAGGTGTCAGATGGCCCATGTACCATGGTATATGTGTCTCTGCCACACAGGTTGTAGCAACAAGGACCCTTAGCCCACAATTCTCCTCTTGACCAAAAAGTCAAGATCCTGGGTTCAGATACAGCCAAGTCTAACCATCTCTTCTGATCCTGCTCCCACCCCTAGTCTTTTAGATGTTTGAGGCGGCCACAGTCCTTCCTCAACTCTAGCCCTTGGAAGCAGGGGCCAGGTCGGCAACCCATTGTTCGAGGTAGGACCAAAAGGAGATGATGTAGAGTCTGACGCTAGTATCTCGAGAGTGGGGGGAATATCATCAAGTATAGAAAGTAGCTGGCTAGGAGGCTACACCACTGAGTCCACTCATAACTCCACAGTTAGCTTATGGGCAAGTCAGTTTCCCTCCCTGAACCTCAATTTCCTCATCTACAAAATGGGGATTATTCTATATCATAAATTGTTAAATTACTTGCACATGGCAAAATGCTCTCAAATAAAAAAGGGTCAGTAATATCCTCATCTGGGGGCATGGACTGGACATGGTGGAGGAAAGGGGTGGTGAGCTCAGTGGGCCTTTTCCTCTCTTTCTGCATCCTTGTGAAGGAAACAGCTACATAATTCAGCGGACAGATTGGGATTTATCAGATTACAGTTACAAGGAACCTGAAGACAAAGGAAACCGGTATATTGGTGAGTCAGGTTGGGGTGGCCATTTCCTAGCAGAGGGAAAAGAGGGGCTTATAATCCCTGGTACAGTGAGCCCCCTGCCTTCTGTGCCTGGTGCAAGACCAGTAGGTGAGGAGTGACTTAGGGACATTCAGATTAACAAGCACACATTGACTGAGCACCAGCTGTATACCAAGGCCTACCTGTCCTCAGCACCCAAAATGCAAAGTCTCTTCTCTCATGGAGCTCACAGTCCAGTGTGCAGATAAGACTCGAGATTGAGATGGAGTGATGGTACTGAGCACTCGGGGCCAAGACCTAGAAGAATAAAGGGCATTAGGGGAGAGGCCCAGGGGATTGGGATCCAGAGTAAAGAGGAACGACGTTTACTAGGTTCTTGACTGTCCTCCTTCTCCACACCCAGGGTACACAATGCAGGTGGGCAGTGCTATCCTGCACCCAACAGACATCACCATTGTGTCAGGTGCCCCTCGGCACGAACATGTGGGCGCCGTCTTCTTGTTGAGCCAGGAGGCAGGCGGAGACCTGCAGAAGAGGCAGGTGCTGGAGGGCACGCAGGTGGGCGCCTACTTTGGCAGCACCATTGCCCTGGCAGACCTGAACAATGATGGGTGAGAGTCCGGGAGGCCCTCTAGGGCCAGGGAGAGAGGTGGAGTGGTGGGACACTCACCCAGTCTGGGGCATAGACATTTACAAGCGTGCATTTGTTTACTTGCTGTTTGCAGGGATTGGCAAGTAAGTAAGCTTTGCATATTGACTTATAGTCAGATTTTATAGGATATTGGGTATTTGCATATAATTTGCATGACACTTGCGTTTGCTTGATTTTGTTCACCTTGGGCCTGGATAGAATGGATATAAGCTGTCTGGGTGTGATCTATGCTTACATGGCTTCCCATGATATGTGTTTTCTATACAATGGATCATCCATTTGGCACATCCATGTCCTTCTCATGACCAAGGGCCAAGGTGACATTTGCACAGCTGTGTGCCTGGCACAATCATGACTATTATTCAGAAGTTATGCTCTGTGTCAGGGGCCAACTTCACACTTTGATCCCCCTCTTCCTCCTCTCCTCTACAGGTGGCAGGACATTGTGGTCGGTGCTCCCTACTACTTCGAACGTAAAGAAGAGGTAGGGGGTGCCATCTACGTTTTCATGAACCAGGCAGGCACATCTTTCCCTGACCAGCCTTCTCTCCTTCTTCATGGCCCCAGTCACTCCACCTTTGGCTTTTCAGTGGCCAGCATCGGTGACATCAACCAGGATGGGTTCCAGGGTATGAACACCTCCCCCAGAATGCCTGCTGACTAGTGACAGCTGTGTGTCAGGCTTGATGACTCACAAAAGACACAGGATGGGGTCTCAGCCCTGAGATCCCACAGACATACCAGAGAGAGGACATGCAGAGAGAGTAAACAAAGGCAAACTTGGTGGACCTGAATGGACAGGCTGCTGGGCCTCAAAGACTGGGCTGAGTTTACACCGGAGAGGGACAGCAGGGTAACAGATTAGTGTGGATACAGACTGGTATGCTCAAATCTAGTGGCTGTAGTGTTCTCCTTGGAGATGAAGCTGGAAACATAATGTGGAGTGGAGGAGATAGAAGCTATGAAAGCCAAGCAGAAACAGGCTTTGTATTTTGGTAATGGAGGGGATGGTCCAGTAAATGTATTGGTACCGTGAAAGAAGATTCTAGAGAGTATGAGTCAGAGGTAAAGCCAGAGGCACTGAGGTCAAAAAGGCAATGCATCAGAACCGAGACAAGGTAGGAACCTGATACAGAGAATATCATCAGGACTCTGCAGGACGTGGGGAACAGCCAGGCCTGCAGTGTCAAGGAGACATATAGGTTAAGGGCTTGAGAATGGTAGTTATTAGTAGAGCACCTGACTTACAATTCACCTCACTGACAACCCTAGTTGACCAGCACACAGCCGAGAACTGAAAGGAAGGGAGAAGAGCCTCTGATGAACCAGTATAGGTGGCAGGGAGTTTACTTAACTGAGCCCAAGCACCTAATGATGGAAGAATCATTTGGCTTCTCCTCAAGACCTACTTATTCTATCTTTAGGGACTTTTCTAACAAGTGTGACCGTTCTGGTTACCTAGACCTTTTCTGATCCAAAGGCAGCTAACTAGCAGTTCAGTAAAGTGTAAGAAGATAGCAAAACATCTTGTGGAAATAATGCTTAGGAGAGAAAAATGTCTGATATTTGAACAAGCAAAGTTCACTATAGTGTTGTGATTAAAATCCCAGGTCATCATGTTTGACAGACATGGTCTCAAATAACCTTTCCTCTTTAGCTGTGTGATGCTGGGCTTTCTGATAGTTTTATCTTTAAAGTGGAGGCAACAGTACCCACAGTACTCTTTTTTTAAAAAAAAATTTTTATTTTATTATTTTCTCTGTGTGTGTACCGTCAAATTGGATCTGACTGGTACAGGAGGAGATTGCCCCTCCTTCTCCAGCACAGCATCTGGTGGATTTGAACCATGTACTTCTGGGATTGCAGTGCTTCTTGCCACTAGGCCACCAGAGCTCCCTTAGTACTCTTTCTAAGATGGAGTAAGATGCATGTTTGGTAATCACGAGGCACAGAGTGAGGACTCTCCTTTCCTGACCTGGCTGCTAAAGGAGACTTTAGCACTAGAAGAGCCAGAGATGTTTGGGCAAGGTTGATGGGAAGATGGAAGACACCATGATAAAATGCCAGGCTAGTGGTCAAGGGTCAGGGATTTAGCCTGGCATTAATATGTGACTTTGACTGGCTGCTTCCCTGCTCTAGGATCTCTTCCCCACCTAGAGAAGGAAGCAGTGGGGGCCCGATGGACCTGGTTTAATGCTGTGCCGAGAAGCACTGGTCCTCCCGTGCTCTCAGCACTGCCTCGCTCTGTTGCCATGCTGCACACTGGCTGGAACACAGGGCTGGGGAGGTGTGGACACAAGGTGACCCTGTCCCCCTCTCTTCCCCAGACATTGCTGTGGGGGCCCCATTTGAGGGCTTGGGCAAAGTGTACATCTACCACAGCAGCTCCAGGGGGCTCATCAAACAGCCCAAGCAGGTATGGATGGGGTGTGCATCAGTCCCCACCCACGAGGTGGACCTGCCTTTCTTACCTATGTGTCCTCCTTCTCTATTGTGCCTCGCTCCTTGGGCCCCACCCAGAGCCTTCCAGCACCACTCCCCTCTCTCTCCAGGTAATTGATGGAGAGAAGTTGGGGCTTCCTGGCTTGAATACCTTTGGCTACTCCCTCAGTGGGAAGATGGACGTGGATGAGAACCTCTACCCAGACCTGCTAGTGGGCAGCCTGTCAGACCGCATCGTGCTGCTGCGGTGAGCTGGGACCTGGTGGGCAGGGACTGTCTTACCTCCAGCCTCTTCTGGGTGGTTCCTCCTTTCTGTCTGTGCCTGGGCTGGGTTAGCCAGAAAGTACTGACAGCCGCTTGGCCTCTATTTTTGTGTGTGCAGAGCCCGGCCTGTCATCAACATCCTCCACAAGACAGTGGTGGCCCACCCATCTGAGCTGGACCCTGCAAAATGCACAAATGACTCTTGGTGAGCCTCAGCTCCACGCTGCCCTGTGCAGCCTCATGTATGGGGTGCAAACACAGGCTGCTAAATACCCTGCCACAACTCCGGAGAGCCCACCATTAGGGGTTTGCATCTTGGAGTAAGCTCCGCCTCCCTACCTGACCTCATTAACAAGCAGAATTCCTGGGGGTAGGTAATGTGTAAAGTAGTAGGGAAGTAGTTAAGGCAAGTGATTGACAGCAGAAGTTCTGGACTGCTGGGTTCAAATCCCAGCTCAGCCAGGGGAGCAGCAGGACAGAGTGCTGAGGAGTCTGGAGGAATAGGAAAAGGAATAGAAAAAGGGGAATAGGATGTGGGGAAAGAGAAGGGTCATCTTGGGCAAATTATTACTGTCTCTGAGGCTCAGATTCCTTACCTCTAAAGCCAAGCTAATAGTGTAACCAATTCAAAGGATCCTTGTGATAATTAAATGAGATAATGTAAAAACCCACTGGAGGGTCAGTTCCAACTCTGTGGTACATGGCAATAACAATGTTAAAAACTCCCTAGCAGTTCCCTGTGCCCTGTAAGTGCTCAATTGCTAATGTGGTGATAATAATGATAGTGATGTCCCCTTGGTGTGAGAGAGGAAACCAGGTCAGAAAGCAAAGGTAGACAGAGCTAGGAAGCAGGGGTCGGGGAGGCAGGAGATCTGGGTTGGGGGTTGGTAGACCCAGGTTCAAGAATGGACTTATCCACCAACTGATTGATGATATGAGGCAAATCTTTCTACTTTCGGGGTTTCCGTTTCTCCATTGGTGAAATGAGGGGCTGATCTCTAACCCAGTTTTCTATACTTCTTATAGGGACAGGGATGGATGGGATCGGGGTGCCGCAGATCAGTTGTGTGGACTCCTCTGTTTTAACCCTACCTTTCTCCTGAGACATCCTGCTTTCCCGTTATCTAGTCCAGGGGGCTGAAAGCTAGGGCCTGGATACCTGAATCTCCTGTAACCTCCCCTCTGTAAACTTCCCCAACAGTATGTATGTGGAGCTGTGCTTTGCTTACAACCAGAGTGCTGGGAACCCCAACTACAGGCGAAACATAAGTGAGTTCTGGGGTGCAGGGAGAGCAGGGTGGAGAGGCGGCTTATCTGGCCACTGGCTGACTACCCTGCCCACCTGCAGCCCTTGCCTACACCGTGGAGGTCGACAGGGACCGGCGGCCACCCCGGCTCCGCTTTGTTCAAAGCCAGTCAGCCACCTTCAATGGCTTCTTCTTCATGCCAGAGATGCGCTGTCAGAAGCTGGAGCTGCGTCTGATGGTGAGGGAAGGTCAGGGGCCAGGCAGGAGCTCCATCATCCCCCAGGGAAGGGGTCAGATACCCCAGGTCGAAGGTGAAGGACTGGGGTGTCCCAAGAGACAGAGGTGGGAAGTTGCAAGTGGTACAGGAGAGAGTGAGGACCTGGAGGGGGATAGAGCCAAGGGACCCATCACCTGAGACTGGGAGGTGGGGGACCTTTGTCTCTGCTCACTTCTAGGGGAGAAGGGCTCCTGAGTGGGAAGCAGGTTCAGCTCCTCTTGGAGCACAGGGTGGAAGGGAGAGCTTAATTCAGAAAGCCTAGGGTGAAGGGAGGAGGCTCAGCCTCCGTGGAGGGAACTCTGGGGATTTGGAGGTGCCAAAAAGCCTCGTGGGCTAGAGAGGAGGCAGCCAGACTGAAGGTTCTTTGACGTGGAGCCCCCTAAGCGCCAACCCGTGGGGATTCAACCTCGTGGGGTGTTGGAGCAGGCCGGGTTCAGCACGCCCTCCCTCCCCAGGACAACGTTCGCGACAAGCTCCGCCCCATCGTCATCTCCATGAACTACTCTTTATACCTGCGGATGCCCGATCGCCCCCGGCTGGGGCTGCGGTCTCTGGATGCTTACCCGGTTCTCAACGAGGCGCAGAGTGCGGAGAACCACACCGAGGTGGGGACAGCGGACAGCGGCGGCCCGCAGACGCTGTGGGGCGGAAGGGCGCTGGGGGTGGGCGGCCGCTCACGCCTCCAACCAATGGCCCCCAGGTCCACTTCAAGAAGGACTGCGGGCGCGACGGCAAGTGTGAGAGCAACTTGAAGATGCAGGCCGACTTCGTCACTGAGCAGATGGAGCCGCTGAAAAGGTGGACTCTGCCCCGGGTTGATTGGCCAAGGGGTGGAATTTTATTGGCCAAAGGTGTTTGAGAGGCGGGGCCCTGTTAGTTTGAGGGATCAGAGGGGCGGGGTAAAGTCTGAGGGGTGGGGCCTCACTGCCTAGGGGCGGAGCCTTAAAAGGCCTAATCTGAGAGACTCACTGGGTTTGGAGTTAGCCGTTCAACTAACGATCTGCAGACTAGGCCACTAGAGTTTCCTTAATCTGAGTGAAAGAGTTTAAAAAGTCAGCTATTGACGTGGAATCAGAAACAACTCATAGCTGACCTTCCAGCGAGTTTTCAGAGGAGATTGCCCATTGTTCTCCGACGGAGCAACTGATGGATTTGAATACCAGGTCTTTGTGTTGGCAGTGCAACTTCTTTCTCACCAAGCCACCAGAGCCCCCAAATAGCCAGGTAGGAGGTAGGTTGCCCTTCACAGAACAGAAAAGTATATATTATATACTTATACTGGGAGGTTTGGAAGCAGGAGTGGCATCCACTTCCCAAAAAGCTTGCCTCTGGAAACTATGAACTTGGAGAAAAGATGCAAGTTTTGTGTTCAAGACTTTCGTTCATAGGGTCGCTATGGGTCAGCTACAACTCTACGGCGCTTAACAACAACAACAACATTGGGGGTGTGTAAGAGAGGTGGTTCTGATAGCCTAAAGCTAAGGAGTTGTGCTGCCAAACAGAAGGCATGTGTTTCGAATCCACTAGCTGCATCGTGGGAGAAAGATGGGCAATCTCCTCCCATGGGACTTTCTACCTATGAGAACCTGCTGGAGAGTCAGTTATTGGTTGGTTCCACCCGGGTGGTACATAACAGCTGGTGTTGTAGACGAGGGGGAATTGTGCTGCTGACCCCAAAGTGGTAGCTCTCTGTTGGTTCGAATCCACCAAGTCCTCCAGAGAAAGACGGGCATTCTCCTCCAGTGTTTTTACAGACCCCCAAAACCTGTCGGACAGTCAACTAAGAGTTGATTCCAACTCAACAGCAATGAGTTTTGGGTTGTTTCTTCCACTAGTGAGACTTGAGGGCAGGATCTTGCTGCCAAAAAGAGAGTTTACTAATCCACTTAGACCCTAGGGCAAAGCCTCATGGATCTGCAGTATGTACTGGGGGCAGGGCTTCTGTCTTTTTTTTTTTTTTTTTCAAATTTTTTAATTTTATTTTATTATTTTTGTGTGTGTTTGTGTGTGTACCGTCAAATCAGATCTGACTGGTACAGGAGGAGATTGTCCCTCCTTCCCCGGCAGAGCATCTGGTGGATTCGAACCATTCACCTCTAGGACTACAGTGCAGCCTCTTGGCCGCTAGGCCACCAGAGCTCACCTAGGGCTTCTGTCTTAACCTTGCACTCCCCCCACCCCCAGGCTCAAGTACAGCCAGGACATCCGGAAACTGTTCCTGAGCATCAACGTGACCAATTTCCCCGGCTCAAAGCGAGCTGGGGAAGATGCCCATGAGACGCTGCTCACCATAGAGATGTCTCCCCGCATGCTGCTGTCCTCAGTGCGTCCGGTCAGTGCTCATTTGCAGGGCTCCCCGCTAACCAGGGTTCTGCAGGGCATTTGCATCAGTATGCATATATCATGTGTTGTCATCAAGGCGTACCCATATCCTCCCATGACCCTTCATCCTGCCCATCCCCTTCTTTGCAGAGGCCTGCATCAACTCTGCTGCTTGGGGAATGGGATTCTCAAACTTCCAGGGCTTCTGACCCTGTACTGCAGGGACAGAACTGGACATGCCAAGACCCTGACCTCATTTGTTTTCCTTTTTCAGCTCGGGGCCTGTCAAGCCAATGACACCATCCTTTGTGAGCTGGGCAACCCTTTCAAAAAGAACCAGCGGGTGAGCACCAGCCAGACACCTCTCCACACTCCATCCCACCTCTATCCCAGCTCTCCAGGGTCCCAGGCTGTTTCTCTGATGAGCTCCAAGTTCACCTTGCTTTAGCTGCCTGTTTGCTGAACACAGCCAGAGCAGGCAGGGGAACTATCATAGTAGAGGATGAGGAGAAGCCCAGAGACTGGGATTGGGGTGGAGAGGGGGCTGTGGACAAAGCTGGAACAGGTGAGGTAGAGACTAGTCAAGGCTGGAACCTGCTGTGTGCCAGGCCCTGAGTTCAACGCTTTGCTTCTTTCCTATAAGATAATTCTTAGGACTTTTTTTTTTTTAATTTATTAATGTTAATGAACATTTACAGAGATTTTGGATTTCCATTCATTCACTGTTGTTCTTAGGACTTTTAAGGAGATAGATGCTATTTTCCAGAAAAGAAAAGAAGATTTTAGTAAATTTTAGTAATGTGTTCGTTCATAGCTTAATGGTAGCAGAGTAGCCACCTGGTGGAGAAAACAGGGAGGGAAGGAGGGAGGGAGAGATGAATCTAAGAGGGTGAAACCGTGGAGATGAGTGGAGAGGTGGAGACTCCACACCAGAGTGGGAGGAAGAGGAAGCTGTGGGACCAACTCGCTAGCCTGGGGTCCAGCCCCACTTCACCTCAGCATCACCCCTGCCAGACCCCAAACCTCCCTCTCTCTTCCCCAACCCTCGTGGCAGATGGAGCTGCTTATTGTCTTCGAGGTCAGTCCACTGGCCCTGCAGACACGGGAACTCCAGGCGCAGCTACAACTGTCCACGTGAGTCACTTCCTGAGGCCAGGCCGGGACCAGGCTGAGGTGTCAGCCCCAGCTGACCACCGCATCTCCCCCCTGCATGCCCTCTCCAGGTCCAGTCACCAGGACAATCTACATGCAGTGGTCCTGCCTCTGCCATTGGACTACCTGCTCCAGACCTCATTCAGCCTGTGAGTCCTGCTCCGCCCCAGCCCCACAGCCTGACTGTCCCCGTTGTTGGCTCACCTACCTCCCTAGCACATCTCCCCTTTCCTTAACAACCATCATCGCTATTATCATGGCTATTGTTACTTCTCTTATAAAGGAAACTCTAGTGGCCTAGTGGTAAGAAACTGTGCACATGGTTCAAATCCACCAGCTGCTCCATGGGAGAAGGATGGACAGTCTCCTCTCATGTGGTTTACTGTCTCTGAAAACCAACTTGAGGGTCAGCTCTGGGTCAGTTCTGACTTGACAGCACACAGCAACAATAAAGCAAGTAGGAGTGGAGTTAGTCACCCTGTGGCTAAAGCTTTGGAGAGCTGCTTATGCTCCAGCCCTGTGGTGTAGCAATGATTATTAATCCCCTATTACAGATAAGAACACTGAGACTCAGAGAAGATAAAAAGTTTGCTTGAGGCTAGAGAGCTAGTAAGTGGCAGAGCTGGGCTTACACCAGGCCTGCCTGATGTCAAGGAGCTATGGTTAACTAGCTTCGTTTCCTTGGCACCTGTTCCCTATACCAGGGCCTGTGCCTCCCTTTCTCCCTGTGACTCCAGCGTCTTTCTTACCCCCAGGGTGAAAGGCCGACTACAGAGCTACTTTGGGGGCACGGTGATGGGTGAAGCTGGCATGAAAACTGTGGAAGATGTGGGAAGCCCCCTCAAGTATGAGTTTCAGGTAAGGGGACATTCAGGTTCCAAGAAGGGATGATCTTGATCTTCAGACCAGAAACCTCTGGAGGCAGTGGAATCAGGGTTTCTTTCTGGGTCTGATGTCAAGAGTAGGAGGGTCAGGCCTGGGGAGTTGGCACCGGTTCCAGGAGGCAGTGCTCACAATACCCCTTTCACCCACAGGTGGGCCCAATGAAGAGGCTGGAAACACTTGGGACCTTGGTCCTGGGACTGGAGTGGCCCTATGAAGTCGCCAATGGCAAGTGGCTGCTGTACCCCACGGAGATCACAGTTCGAGGCAATGAGTCCTGGCTCTGCCAGCCACCAGGAGACCTGGTCAACCCTCTCAACCTCACTTTCCCTGTGAAGACACCTCCGGAGGTATTTCATTTGCATTTCCTTTCCATTGCATGCTGCAGAACGGAAATGCCGGTGTCCCCTCATCCCGCCCTGTCTTCCTCTCTCCTCTGCTCCCACTTCTTCCTCCTCTGTCCTCAGGTCCCAGGGGATGGCCCACCATCTCAGCGCAGGCGACGAAGAGAGCTGGACCAGGAAAGAAACCAGGACTCTTTGCTTGCCCCTGTGATATCTCTGAACAGGGCCAAGCCTGTGACCACACTGGTGAGTGGGCAGGGGCAGTGAGGGTAGGACGGTACCCACCCAGTCAAGAATGTGTTGGCAGAAAAGAGCCCACAAAACAAGGTCTAATTCACCAGGAGATGCTAGTCAGCTGAGGTGATGTAGTCAGAGGGCGGAGGCCCAGCACCTGCCCTCAGAGGGTACTCTACTCTGACAGAGGAGGCACAGCCCTTGTTCTTGGGGGTATCTAATACCGGACGAGAAGGCATGAGCTCTATTCCAAAGAGCCTCAGCCTGTTGGGGTGATACCGCTGCTCAAAACCTTGGACATTAGGGATGAGGAATAGAGAAGGACAGAGGAAGTGCAGACCTCAGGAAGGAGGGAGCGATACAGGGCCTCCTTTGTTGGGAAGGGGAGAGGAACAGGCAAGTTGAAACCTGGCTGGGAGGAGAGGTGAGCAGTATTCTTCCGGGGCAGGAGCTGGTGAGGCAGGTGCTCGGGAGTGGTCTCCGTTTGCCTGAGCAGGGGCCTGACTTCACATTATCCATGTCACTGGCATCTCTACATGCTTGGCCAGAAGGGTGCATCTTAAAAACATGGGGATCAGGGAAATCTGTGTGAGTTATGGGGTAAGCCAGCCCCTTCAGTTCAGCCATGCTTGAGACACAGTGTGGGAAGGGTTTACGGTGAGGAGCAAATCACGCAGATCTGGAGACTTAGACTCTGTCTGTCCTGTATGTTCCCTGTGCATCCCAGAGCTGTAACAATGGTGGCGCCCGCTGTGTGTGGCTGGAGTGCCCCATTCCTGACACTCAGGTCATCACCAACGTGACCGTGCAGGCCCGGGTGTGGAACAGCACCTTCATTGAGGTCAGTGTCCACGTCTGGGGGTCTCTGTTACCCCTCACTGCATGGGAGAGCACCAGGGAGAGGTCAGGGTCACACTAGAGCCACTAGGATGCGAGTATGACAGTGACAGCAACTTGTTCTGCGCACAGTGGTGCAACTGTCACTGTGTGCACATCAGTGTGATGTCTGTGTAGATGTGGCCATCAAGCTTGTTTCTGGCCAGACTGGCCTTCTGTCATGTGTCCGTTACTTTGCCACATGTCTGTTACTCTGTCATGTGTCTGTCATCTGTCATGTACCTGTTACTTTATCCTGTGTCTGTTATTTTCCCACCTCTGTTCTTTCTCTTATGTTATTTCTTCCCCTTGAAGCATCTACTTCTCTCGCTGTTACCTCTGTCTATAATCTCCTATCAAGATTTCATGGTCTCCCTCAAATGCTTTACTCACAGAGCTTGCTCAAAAACTCCTTATGCAGGGAGCTCTGGTGGCCTAGTGACAAGAAGCTACACTGCAATCCCAGAGATACATGGTTCGAATCCACCAGATGCTTTGCTGGAGAAGGAGGGACAATCTCTACCTGTACCAGTCAGATCTGATTTGATGGTACACACAAAAAATAATAAGATAAAAATTTAAAACAAACAAACAAACAAAAACTCCTTATGCACTTGCCCTTTTTACTCTGGAGTGTAGTGACCGTACTGTGCCAGCTTCCCCCCGCTAGACCAGGGGCGGTGCATTTTTGTTTGTAAAGGGCCAGATAATAAATTTTTCCAGCATTACAGACCGCACAGTCTCTGTCACAGCTCCATAGCTCCGCCCTGTGTAGCATGAGCACAGCTGGGCAATATGTATGTCAGTGGGCACGGCCGTGTGCCAAAAAACTTGACAGAGTAGGCGGCAGGCCTGACCTAGCCCACGTGTGACCTTCGACTCTGCTCTCCCCAGCATCCAGCACAAGACCTGACACATAAATGAAAGAACAAATGAGTTAATGATGTGTATTTTTATGTGGAGAAGCAGCCTGGCTGTCTGAAACTTTGGGGTGTTATTTAAGGATGTGGCCTGGCAGGAGGGGACACAGGGGGCTTAAGGCCAGGAGGGAGAGCCAGAGATGCTAATGTTACTGCTTTTAACTTGCTTGTACTCCCCACCTCTAGGATTATAGGGACTTTGACCGAGTCACGGTACATAGTGAGGCCACGCTGTTCCTTCGAACCAGTGTTCCAACCATCAGTATGGAGAATAAAACCATACAGGTGAGTGAATGCTTACTTAATGCTAACTAACGAAGGCAGCAGTCTCTGGGCAAGGCACTAGTCCACAGTCAGTCATGACAACACATTAGAATCATCTGGAGAAATCCTGGTCTCTGGACCATAATACCCTAGAGTAATTATACTTGACTCTCCGAGGGCAGGACTTCTGTATTTGTATATTTAAAGGTTCCCCAGACATAGGCAAATTGAAATAAAGGTAGATACAGATGCATAGATAGGTGAGAACAGAGAGCTGTATGTGTGAATACAAATACATGGGCACATGCACATGTATTTACTAAAGACACAGATGTAGATATTCCTCAGACATAACTAAAGACCTTCTCACACTGATTTCTGGATCATACTCTTATGAAACAATTTAGTCAGCTGCATTACATAGTTCACAAAAGTCACCATCATAAAGAAATGATTAGTGTGTGGCTTCTTTAAAACTTGCAAGCTGTGAGCTCAGCACTCCTGGAACTGAACAGTAAGGAGGTAACCAGAAACTCAGGAAGAACAAAGTTACAAGAGCCACAATCTCATCTTCCCTGAGACCAGAAGAACTAGGCAGTACCCAGCTACCACCACTAACTGCTCTGACTGGCACCAGAATAGGGGATCTTTGACAGAATGGGGGGAAAAGAAACATGTGGAGAACTCAAATTCTTCTTATTTAAAAAAGAGGGGAACGGCAGACAAATTGGAATGGGGGGAGGGGGTTAGAGAACTCCCCTGAGACTATCACCCTGAAAAAGTCTTTAATCCTAGAACTGAGCCTAGCCTCTTGTGGTGAAATAGGACAGTGGCTCGCAAAGTTAAAGATATTATCCTAAAGGTTAGTGTTCTTTTTAAAAACCAGAAAATACAAGACCAGATGTCCAAGAATTTCTTAACTGCAAGGATGAGACAATAAAGTGTCAGAAAACAAGAGTGCTGAAAAGGAAACAGAGCACAGTTAAAGAGAACGTCAGCTCACTGCGTTAAATTGTAACTGGGGTCACTGAGCTCTTGTAGCTTAGCAGTAAGGAGTTGTGCTGTCAACCCAAAGGCATGTGGTTCGAGTCCACCAGCTGCTCTGTGGTAGAAAGATGGCCACTCTTCCCTGTGCCGTTTACTGCCTTTGAAAACCTACTGGAGGATCAGCTATGAGTTGACAGTACATAAAAACACTGCATAACTGGGGAGAGCTTGAGTAGCTTACCCTGTAGCAGCTTGCTCTTCTAACCCAAACGCTGATTATCTCTCATGGTTCAAATCCACTAGTAACTCTGAGAAAGAAAGATGGGCAGTCACCGTCTACCACAATTTATATCCTTAACCCGCTGGATGGTTGAATTGAAACAACCAGACAGCAGTGAGTTTTTTAATTAGTTAATGCCACCAAACAACTTGTGTACAAATTGGCAAGTGAGAATCTAGCTTGCTGGGTAGACTTTCATCAAAAGCTCAGTAAAACATTATTTAAAAATATAAAGTTCTTCAAATGATTCAAATGTGTAGTCAAGGTTGGGAGCCATTACTTTTGCTGATTTGAGCCACTCAACATCTCTAAGAGCAGGCCTGAGATTGTTGTATCTATTTTATGGCCCAAAGGCAGAGGCCCAGGGACACTGAGTGACCTGCCCAAAGTGACACAACTTACAGTGGGCTGGACCTGGACATCGGGCTGTCTCACCCGTTGTCATATGTACATGTGAACTGCTGGTCACAAGAAATAGAGAAACAGAATAATACACTGAAATAGAAGGTCTATCATGGGAACATGATTCTTATTTGCAGATGACACTCTTATCTACATATCAAAAAGGAGAAGCAACTAAAAACCTATTGGACCCAATAAAAAAAAATTCAGGAAGTTCATCAGCTCAAAAGGAAAACAAAAAATAGAAAAGCTCATTGTTTTCGCAATGGCTAATAAATATAGCACAGAGAACTGGGTGCTGGAGAGAAATATATATATTTGCCTATATTTGGGGAAGATAGATAAATATGAATGTAATATATACTGTTGTTGTTATGTGCCTGCAACTCATAGCGACCCTATGTACAACAGCCTTAAACTCTGTTCTATCCTGTGCCAATCTCACTGTCTCTGACACACCTACCCTGATTACCCCAGTTACTGAATCAGTCCACCTCATAGAGGGTTTCATCTCCTTCGCTGTCCCTCTACCCTCCTTGCAACATGTCCACAGTATGTCAGACAAAGTTTTGGTATCCTTGCCTCCAGTGAGCATTCTGATTTAACCTTCTCCAGGATGAACCTGTTCATTTTCTTAGCACTATGGTATATTCCATACTCTTCTCCAGCACCACAGCTCAAAGGCATCAATTCTCCTTGTATCCTTCCTAGTCATTGTCCTGCTCTCTGACACATAGCAAAGACTATTGTCTGTATCAGGTGCACCTTAGTCTCCAGAGTAACACCATTGCTCTTCAGTACTTTGGAGAGGTCCCTAAGAGCAGACTTTCCCATCAAAATATGTATTTTCATTTCCTGGCTGCTGATGCCAAGAGGGCTGACTGTGGAGCCAAGCAAACTAAAGCTGTTAACAATCTCAATCTGCCAATTGGTCCAGTGTTGAGAATCTTTGTCTTCTTGATATTGAGACTCAATCCATATTGAAGGCTGCAGTCCTTGACCCTCTGCAGCAAGTGCTTCGGGTCCTCCTCAGTTTCAGAAAGCATGGTTATGTCATCTGCATAATGCAGATTGTTGATGAATCTTCCACCAATCTTGATGCCACACTTCTCCTCATACAGCCCAGCCACCTGGATAATCTGTTCTGCATATAGGTTGAAAAGGTATGGACATAGGATACATCTTTGGCGTACACCCTTCCCGATTTTAAACCATGCAGTGTTTCCTTGTTCTGTTCTGACGACTGCCTCCTGGTCCAAGTATAGGTTTCGCCTTAGCACGATCAAGAGTTCTAGGATTCCCATTTTTCTCAGAGTCAGCCATAGTTTGTTATGATCCACACAACCAAACGCCTTTGCATAATCAATGAAACATAGACAGACATTCCTCTAGTACTCCCTGCTTTCAGCCAAGATCCATCTAACATTAGCTACAACATCCCTAGTACCACGACCCCTTCTAGCCTGCACTTCTGGCAGTCTCTGTTGATGTGCTGTTCTAGTCGTTTTTGGATAATCTTCAGCAAAATCTTGCTTGCATGTGATATCAATGATATTGTTCGATAATTTCCACACTATTGGATCACCTTTCTTTGGAATGGGAACACATATAGATCTCTTCCAGTCAGTTGGCCAAGTGGTTGTCCTCCAGATTTCTTGACACAACTTGGTGAACACATCTAGGGCAGCATCTGTTAGTTTAAATACATCGGTTGGTATACCATCAATTCCTGGGGCCTTATTTTTTTTTTGCCAATTCCTTCAAAGCAGCTTGAACTTCTTCCTTCATCACCATAGGCTCTTGCTTATATGTTGTTTCATCAAATTCTTCTGTGTCTGCCAATTCCTTTTGGTTCAGTGACTCAGTATATTCTTTCCATCTTCTTTTAATACTTCCTGGATCATTTCATATTCTGCCCAAAGCATCCTTAAACATAGCAACTTGAGGTTTGAATTTGATGACATTAATTGAAAAAAGAAGCAAGTTTCAAGATAGTTTGTGTAGTATGATCCTGTTTATATGGAAGGGAAAAAATATGAAGTTGAGCTCTGGTGGCCTAGAGGCAAGAAGTGGCACTGTAATCCCTAAGGTACATGGTTTGAGGCCATTAGCCACTCCACAGGAGAACAATGGGCAAACTCCTCCCATGCAATTAACTACCTCTAAAAATGCACTGGAGAGTTACCTGTGGGTCAGTTTCAGCTCTTGGTACACAACAACAACAATATATAAGCTAAATATTTTGGAAAGAGGTTTACCAAAACATTTTAGATAGTGCTTTTTAGGTAGCAAAGCTGCCGATTGTCTTTTATTTTCTTTATATCCCCTGAATTGTTTTTTTAAAACATTAATAGTCACATATACTAACTCATTGCCACGGAATTGGAACTAACTCAGAGCTGACCCTCCAGTGGGATTTGATTGCCCATCCTTCTCTCGTGGTTGTATCACCTGGACTTTAAAAAAATTAATAGTCACTGATTCTAACTAACTCGTTGCCATGGAGCTGGACCTGACTCGTAGCTGACCCTCCAGTGGGTTGTCAGGAGCTGGAAGTCACACAGGAGGCCACTGCCCATCTTTCTCCTTCGGAACAGCTAGTGGATTCAAACTGCCTGCTTTGGGGTTGGCAGTCCAGCTCTTACCCACTATGAGACACATGTAGTCAGGAAAAATGCTATCTATCAATTTAGATATATAAATATATATAATTTTTTTCAAGGGAAGAAAAAGAATGGTCCCATGTAACATGAATTCTTTATTTCTTGGTTAATAGCTATGACACGATGCTTGCTTTCTGTCCGTTTACCCATCCTCTTAAGCACATTTAATTCATCCCAACAACTTTTGAGGTGGGTTTTTTTTTACCATAATACCCATGTTACAGGGACTACAGTCTGCAGTATGGATTGAGACTCAATATCAAGAAAACAAAGATTCTCACCACTGGGCCAATGAACAACATCATAATGGATGGTGAAGAGACTGAGATTGTTCACAGTTTTGGTGTGCTTGGATCCACAGTCAACACTCTTGGCACCAGCAGCCAGGAAATTAAAAGATGAATTACGATGGGAAATTCTGTGGTTAGAGACCTCTCTAAAATGCTGAAGTGCAAAGATGTCAGTCTGGAAACTAATGTGTGCCTGATAGAGGCCATGGTCTTTGCAATCACTTACTTTGCATCAGAGAGCTGGACAATGACTAGGGAGGACCGAAGGAGAATTGATGCCTTTTAGCTGTGGTGTTGGAGAGGAGTATTGAATATACCATGGACTGCTAGGAAAACGAACAGGTTCGTCCTGGAGAGAGTAAAGCCGGGCTGCTCCTTGGAGGCAAGGATTCTGAAGCTTCATCTGACATACTTTGGGCATGTTGCAAAGAGGGACCAGCCCTTGGAAAAGGACATCATACTTGGGAGGGTGGAGGGATAGTGCAGGAGAGGAAGACCCTAGATGAGATGGATTGATTTGGTTTCTGGGATAATGGGTGTAGGTGTGTTGGAGATGGTGAGATTGGCACAGGATAGGGCAGAGTTTAGGGCTGTCATACGGTCAATATGAGTCACAGGCAACTTGAAGGCACATAACAACAACAGCAACAACAACCCATGTTACAGAAGAACAGCAGAAAGGTCGAGTAACTTACATCACCCAGCAAGCGAGTATATCGCTGGGACTCCAGCTCAGGCAGTGGCGCTCCAGAAGCCAGGCTCTCCACCCTGGTGGAGTCCAGCATGTGGGACTCCAGAAGTGGGATTACTTGTCCAGGGTCACACAGATCGTGAGGGTAGAGCTGTGTCCAAGCCGAGATCGTCAATCACATTCAGACTCCAGCCGCCTCTGAGGTCTGAGGCTGCTCCTCCGGGACCCAGTTTGCATGTTAAGAAGCAGGAGCCCCTGCTGATGTCAAACCTCATTTCTGTCTGGTTGGGACTGACTCGTAGCTGACCCGCCACTGGGGTTCCGAGCTGTAAACTGGATGGGAGGATGCTGTTCATCTTTCTCCGGAGGAGCTGACGGGAGATTCGAACTTTGGGAGACGCGTGGCATTTGGGTTAGCAGAGGCAGCTAGCTGCTCGTGGACCAGGCCCCCCAAGGTCACTCAATGGGGCAGGCAGGCAGGCACTTTTCCAGTTCCCCTTCGCCCCCTACTGGCAGCAAGTCAGATAGCAGGACCCAGAGCTCTGCAGAGAGGGGATCAGGTGAAGATGGAATGAGGAGGGCAGTCACCCACAGGGCTGAACCACCTCTGTCCCCCTCCAGTTCTTTGTGGACGTTGACTCTGACCTGGTGGAGGAGCTGCCGGCTGAGATCGAGCTGTGGATGGTGCTCGTGGCCGTGAGCGCCGGGCTTCTGCTGCTGGGGCTGATCATCCTTTTGTTGTGGAAGGTTAGGTGGCACCCCCTCCAGGATCCCCTCCCTAAACTCCTGCCAGCAGACTCCCCACCCGCTCTCCCTTCATGCCATGTCCCCCCATCTCATTCCTCATTTCCATCTCACCCTCACCCTTTCCCTATGCCCTCCCCTCCCTCGCCCCAGCCTCCAGTCCCACCCCTGCCCGGTCCTCAGTTTACCCGGGAGAGATGCTCCTGCCTCAGCCAACAGGGCTTGCTGCAGCTCGGAAAAGGGAATCCACCCCGGAGCTCTGGCTGCAGGGCACAGTGCCATGCTGGGGTCAAGACCCCAGCCCTAACGCCCAGTCCATAGCGCTGCTGGCAGGGACACCCCAGGCTCCCCCTGATGCCCCTCCCCACCTGCTCCCCTCCCGCAGTGTGGCTTCTTCAAGCGAGCCCGCACTCGGGCCCTGTACGAAGCCAAGAGGCAGAAGGCGGAGATGAAGAGCCAGCCGTCAGAGACAGAGAGGCTGACCGACGACTACTGAGGGGGGCTGTCCCCCACCCCCGGCCCACCTGGGTAACACGGCCTCAGGGCCCTCTTCCCCCAGCCCACAGCTGGCCGGGGCTCTGACTCTGTCCTGTCTGCTCCTCTTCCTTTTTGAGCCCACTCTGTACCCCACCCTGTCCCCAACAGCACCCTTCTACTGCCCTGGGGGAGCCTGGCTCTCGAACCAGCTCCTCAGAGACTTGCTACCCCATGAAGGAGCCATAATAAAACCTTCTCTTTGCTCTTTGGAAATTGAAAAGGGCGAGACTGCAGGTCATAAGGCGTCCCCACTGCAGGGAAGGTGGAGTCCCTCCCGCTGACCCAGGACACCCTTCCCAGAGTCCACCTCAGTGCCAACGTCAAGTCCAAGGAGGCACTCACCCTTCTGGTCATTCCCTTACCATGGCTGTCCGTCTGTCTCCATCTGCCTCTGCCTCTCCTCTCTACTTTCCTCAACACCTCTGGGGCCTGAGGGGTTGGATGTGTCTGAGTCAAAGGTGTGATTTTGAGGACCTCTGGGTAGGATGGAAGAAGACGGTGGGCACAAGGCCCCCCGCTGCCTGGAAAGCTGGTCTCTCATACTCTCTTTTTCCCCAACCACAGTGTGACTTCTTTAAGCGGACCCGCTATTACCAGATCATGCCCAAGTACCACGCAGTTCGGATCCGTGAAGAGGAGCGCTACCCGCCCCCCGGGAGCACTGTGTCCACCAAGAAGCACTGGGTGACCAGCTGGCAGACTTGGGACCGATACTACTGACGTGCTCCCTGGTCCCGACCCCCTCCCCCAGTGCCCTTTCCTTCCTATTTATCATAAATGATGCCCCCGAGAATCCATAGGGCCCACGGCTCAGGCACATGCACTTGCTGGCTGCACTCTCCCCTGCAGGAGGGGGGCTGGGGACTGGACATGCCAGTGCTGTGCCCCAGAGCCCTCTGCCCTGGACACCCGTGGGGCCTACTGCACTGTGACTTACACCCCAGGGGCTGGAGTGCCCCCTGACTCAGCCTGTGACAAAGCCAGGCCAGAGGGCCTCGTCAGAGCCAGGAGCAGGAGGCCCCCAACGCAGTGACACTGCTCCCCGTTCACACTGGATCCACCTTGAGCCATAGACACTGGATTGCTGCTTGTCCAGAAATTAAAACTACTGACCGGGAGAACCCACTGAGGCCCCAGAGACAGCTCCCTGGCACCAGGCCAGAGAACTGGGGGTCCTGCCTAAGGTTGTCCAGGGGACCGTTTGCTGGACCAGGGGAGCATTTGCTGGACCCAGCATTCTCAGACCCGAGAGCAAAATGAACTAGAAACAGGGTGTCTGGAATGGCTTTCAATCCTGAGTCTCTGTGAAAGCTCTCCTTTTGGCCATTGACTGAGTTAACATGTATACAGGCTGAAGAACTGGGCATGGAACCCTGGGCATCTGGACCAGCTGTGCCCGGGCCTCCCCAGGAGCACAGTGGAATCCTCGACAGAGAGGCTGGGACCAGCCCCAGCCCCAGGAGACAATGGAAGGCTACGGAAGACCTACTCCTGACCATCCTGGCCTCCTTAGGGCCTGGAGGGACGCCTCCAAGGTCACAGAGGGAGCGACACGTGAATGTAGAACAAGGAGGGAGCCCTGTCCCTGCCCCAAGCGGTCAGACCCATTCTGTCCCCACTGACCACGACCACGGCTGGGCGCCTAGAGGTGTTCTTGACTTTCAGAGCCAACATGGCTCTGCCCACCTCCCCCAGCCTATCTACCAAGGCCTGTTCTAGAGGTTGAGGTTGGTTCCGGAAAACCTCTGCCAATGCCCAGGCCCCTGGCCTGCCCCCACCCCCTCCCACGGTACTGTAGCAGGGACCTCCCTCCTCCTCGTGCCTTCTTTGTAGTTAGGCTTCTCACAGCAACCAATAAACAGCTCCATTTTGTACATGCTGCATCCGCTGCCTCCCCTCTCCGCCCGTCTCAGAACTAACTGTATTTGAATAGTTGGATAGATCCAGGTATCACCCAGGCCACTCCAGGTAAAAAAGTGTTACAAGGGGGACTTGCAAGATGTGGTGTGAGGAGACACGAGCTCTGCCTTCAGGGATACCCCAATATAAGGCAGAGTCACAGATAAGGGCAAAAGACTTAATTGGACTGAATGGAGTCAAGAATGGCTTCCTGGAGGAGGCTAACCGCACGCAGGCAGAGCAGAGAGGGATAGAGGTGTGCAGGGTGGAGTTCTCCGCTGCCATTGGTGGAAAATGCTGGGTGGGAAGGTAGAAGAGAATTCTTTCAGGATGAGTTGAGTAGAAGAGACTGAATTCAGGTAAGAATCTGCTTTCTGATTTCTCTTTCCCCATGTTCCTATCTGTGTGTGCTCAGTGATAAGTTAATAAGAGCCAAGGCTGGAAAAGCTGGCAGGTGGAGATATCCATGCCCCAGCCTCTGGAAGGGAGAACTTGGGACCTCAGCTCCTCTGAGTGTACAGTATAGCTTCACAATTCGGTGTTGCTAACACAGAGCTATCTCAAGTTGTTGTTAGGTGCCATTGAGTCAAGTACGACTCATAGCGACCCTGTGAACAAAAGAGCTGAACCCTGTTCTATCCTGTGTCCTCCTCACACTTCCTGACACACATGAGCTCAGTGCAGCAGTCACTGCAATCCACCTGGTTGAGGGTCTTCCTCTCTTTCACCGACCCTCAACCCTTCCCAGAATCATGTCCTTCTACAAGGAACAGTATCTTCTAGCAACATGCCCAAAGCAAGTGAGGTGAAGCCTCATCATTCTTGCCTCCAAAGAGCACTTCAGCTGCTCCCTGTCCAAGACATGTCTGCTTGTTCTCTTGGCCGTCTGTGGGATGTTCGGTGCTCTTCTCCAACACCACACACAGCTCACTCAAGTAGATGACTTTAGCAACAGAAACCTAGCCTCTATGCCCAGCTCTAGGAGATGTCGGTTCTGTCTGTGGGTTGTGGAGGAAAATCCTTGTTTTCCTCCTTGTCTGAAGGTGCAGTGTTCGCTGGGTCCCCATGGGCCTTGGCTTTCCCTGGCATCAAGGCACTTCCTCTTGGAGAGATCTGAGTCCAGAAGGATGTGCTCCACTCCTGGCAATTCTTTCTTGGTGGTACTGAGGTCCCCACTCTTGGCTCCTTTTCTCCCTCTTTAACTTTGTGAGATAAAAGGTATTAATAGGTCATCCTAGGGAAACTCCTCATATAGGATTAGGGCTGGCAATAGGATTAAAGGATGTCGCATTCTACTCTTAATCCTTTTATAACTACTTGGTTTATCAGATTAAGGGGGACTGTTACACAGCTTCCATAGTCTATCTTCACACACACACACACCACACCCCACAGGTATATTTGGAGGGCACAAGCACCCTGAGGCATCATCCACGTCACAGCAGGATGGGCCCCTCCCCACAGCACCTTTCCCTACAGGCTCTTGTCTTAGCTGGACAGCCCATAGCTTGGGGCTTGGATCAGGCCTTGCTTTGCTCTGGCCACTTCTGGGGTTCCTGTGGCTGCTTCCTCAGAATTAGCCAGGCTGCTCATCTGGTCACCTCCTTCCTGGTCCTGCATTCTTCCTGTGCCACAGCCCTTCTGTTTGACGCGCTGACTTTTGGGAAGACTTGGCTGAGGTCTGGAAATACCCTGGTTTCAGCCACTCTCAAGCCTCTCTTGGGGCCCCTGTTGGTAGAAGTATCCCTGTGCTGCCCAGCCTGCTTCTCAGCAAGGCCTACCTCCTGACAGAGCCCTTAGTCCAGTGCTCAGAACTCTCCCTCCCCATCTGCCCTCATTTTCTGTGCCCTTTCCCAGAACATCTGACCACTTTCTTCAGAAAAACCCCTGCTGAGTGGTCGGGAACCCAACGATGGGTGGACAGCCTTCCCAGAACTTAGGTGATTGATTCACTCCCTCAGACACACTTCATATCTCATATCCGAGTCCTCTAAGTACAATTTGGCCCTGCTCGTCCTTTTGCTTATAAATGTGGTAATACACACAAAACATTTGTCATTTCAACTTACTTGTACATGTATAATTTAGTGACAACTCGTTAAAAACACAACTATATATTTCCAAATTTTTCCATCATGCTTAACAAAATTAAATGTCCCCTAAGGAATAAGTCCTCCCTCTTGCTCCTTCCCACCTCTGGGATCCACTAGTAAGCTTTAATCACTATACCTTTGCCTATTCTAGATTATTTTATGGTTGTTGTTCTAGATTTTTTATGTACATGCAACCATGAACTATTTGTGGTTTTGTGCTGGCTTACTTCATGTAGCCTAATGTTTTCAAGGTATGATACATGCTGTGTAGCATGTATCAAGATTTTATTTCCTTTTATGGTTAAGTAATAATAGCGGGAGAGTTGATGACTTTGAGCTGTGGTGCTGGAGAAGAGTGTTGACTATACCATGGACTGCAAAGAGAACAAACAGGTTCATCCTGGAGAGGGTGAAACCAGGCTGCTCCTTGGTGGCAAGGATTCTGAAGCTTCATCTGACATACTTTGGACATGTTGCATGGAGGGACCAGTTCTTGGAGAAGGACGTCATGCTTGGGATGATAGAGGGACAGCGCAGGAGAGGAAGACTCTCCATGAGATGGATTGCTTCAGTGACTGTAGGTGTGTCAGAGACAATAAGATAGGCACCAGATAAAGCAGGGTTTAGGGCTGTTGTACATAGGGTCGTTATGAGTCACAGGTGACTGAGGGCACATAACAATAACAACATTTCATTGTTTGTATACACCACATTCTGATTATCTGTTCATTTTCTGATGAATATTTAGATTGTTTCCATCCTTAGGCTATTGTGAATAGTACTGCAGTGAACACTGGTGTATATAAATCCCTGCTTTCAATTCTTTGAATACTTAGAATTGAGATTGCTGGATCATAAGTAAATTCTATGTTTAACTTCTTGAGAAACTGCCAAGTTGTTAAGTGGTTATTCACAGATACTACTGAATGAAGCCTAAACCTGAGTTTTCTCATCTGTAAAATGAGCACAGCAGCAATGGGCTTGAGTGTGTCAGAGACTGTGATGGTATAGAATAGGACAAGGTTCAGATCTGTTGTCCATAGGCCATGATGGGTCCTAGTCACAGGACCTAACAACAACAGTACAATGGCAATGTCTTGAAAAATGAAATGAGACAGTGCTTGCAAACAGTGCCTGGAACACAGGTTATTATCTATTCAGCTAGGAGTGTCCTGTGAGGCTTTGTACACAGCTTTATGTTAGCTCTCAATACATTAGGTTGCAACTAGTCATTATGCAGCTTGAAAGAACATATAGTCTTTTTAAAACTTTTTATTTTGCTTTGAGTGAAAGTTTACAGAGAAAATGGATTTTTTCCCCCATTCAACAATTCATACATATTTTATCTTATGACATACCAGACCATGTGGCCAGTCCTTGTAGAAGGACATCATGCTTGGAAAAGTGAAGAATTAGGATTAAGAGGGGAAAACCCTCAAGAAGATGGATTCTAATAATAAGGCAGAGTTTCTAAGGATCATGTCTGCGAGTCAGGATTCCCGGTCCAGAGACAATGGCCCCTATGGAATGGAGCCAGAAGGTGTCATCGAGAGTAATTGGAATGAAATTGTTGACAGCTTTGATGACATGAACCTCTCCGAGTCCCTTCTCCGAGGCATCTATGCCTATGGTTTTGAAAAGCCTTCTGCCATACAGCAGCGAGCCATTCTTCCTTGTATCAAGGGTTATGATGTGATTGCTCAAGCCCAGTCTGGGACTGGGAAAACAGCCACTTTTGCCATATCAATTCTACAGCAGATAGAATTGGATCTGAAGGCCACCCAGGCTTTGGTCCTGGCTCCCACTCGAGAATTGGCCCAGCAGATACAGAAGGTGGTAATGGCATTAGGAGATTACATGGGTGCCTCCTGCCATGCCTGCATTGGGGGCACCAATGTACGTGCTGAAGTACAGAAACTGCAGATGGAGGCTCCGCACACCATCGTTGGTACCCCAGGCCGTGTATTTGATATGCTTAATCGAAGATACCTTTCTCCCAAATACATAAAAATGTTTGTGCTGGATGAAGCTGACGAAATGTTAAGCCGTGGGTTCAAGGACCAGATCTATGACATATTCCAGAAGCTCAACAGCAAAACCCAGGTAGTTTTGTTATCAGCTACAATGCCTTCTGATGTGCTTGAAGTGACCAAGAAGTTCATGAGGGACCCCATTCGGATTCTTGTCAAGAAGGAAGAACTGACCCTGGAGGGTATCTGCCAATTCTACATCAATGTGGAACGTGAGGAGTGGAAGCTGAACACACTGTGTGATTTGTACGAAACATTAACGATCACCCAGGCTGTCATCTTCATTAACACCCGAAGGAAGGTTGACTGGCTCACTGAAAAAATGCATGCCCGGGATTTCACCGTCTCTGCCATGCATGGAGATATGGACCAAAAGGAATGAGACATGATCATGAGGGAGTTCTGTTCTGGCTCCAGCAGAGTTCTCATCACTACTAACCTACTGGCCAGAGGCATTGATGTACATCAAGTTTCTTTAGTCATAAACTATGACTTTCTCACCAACAGGGAAAATTACATTCACAGAATTGGACGTGGTGGGCGCTTTGGCCGTAAGGGTGTGGCTATTAACATGGTGACAGAAGAAGACAAGAGGACCCTTCGAGACATTGAGACCTTCTATAACACCTCCAGGATTGAGGAAATGCCCCTCAATGTTGCTGACCTCATCTGAAAGGGGCCATCTGTCCTGCTATATAGCCCTGGCCCAGGGTTCAATCCTGGAGGGCTGGAGCAGGAGGGGGGAGGGAAGGGAGCCAAGGGATGGACATCTTGTCTTTTTTTTCCCCTCCCCCCCCCACTCTTTTGAATAAATGTCACGTTTTGAGGCAAAAGAAGGAACCGTGAACATTTTAGACACCTTTTTCTTTGGGGTAGGTTCTTGCCCCAGTCGCCGACTTTTCTTCCCCTCTTAAAAAAAAAAAGCAACAACAAGAAAAGAAATACTAATCCATTTCTCTAACCTAGTCACCTGCAGATCCATGAGGCTCTTCCCACCCCAGCCAGACTCCTTCAATACTCAAGGGGCTATGATGTCATTCAACCCCGTATGCTGGACCAAATCTGAAGGGACAGTGCTAGAGTGAGGTGGCCCAGGGTATTGTTCCTAGGTGGGGGGAGCAAGGGAGAGAAAATGGTAGCCATTGTTACATTGTTTTGTATAGTATTTATTGATTCAGGAAGCAAATTCAAAATTCTGAATAAAATTACTTGGAAACTGCCAAAAAAAAAAAGATAAGGCAATGTTCACATCCTTTGTTCTTAAGGTCCCTATGAGTTAGAGTCAACTGGAGGCCACAAATAACAACATTGTAACAACATGCTTACTGTTTCCTCCAGGTGATTCTCATTTGCTTCCATCCTTTAATCCTAGTCCTTCCTGCCTTCTGACCTTTATTTTAGGGTCAAGGCTATGTGGCTTATGTTATGGTTGGTTGAGAGCTCTGGTGGTCTAGCAAGTAAGCAGTTAGTTGCATTGCCAACTCTAAGGCCAGCTGTTTGAATCCTCCAGCTACTATGCAGAAGGAAGATGGGAAACTTCCTTTTGTACAATTTACAGTCCGAAAACCCTGCTGGAGGATCAGCTATGTGGAGGTGCCAACTCCACAGCAACTCACTGCATTGCATTTGCGTGCTTCCTCGACTGCAGGGAGCTCTCTATTCCACCAAGGCTTCCCAAGATAAAAATGAACCATCTCCTCTCATGTGATTTATAGCGTCTGAAAACCTGACTGAGAGTCAGGTGTGAGTTGATTCCAACTCAAGGTCAATTGGCTTGAGTTTTTTGATGGTTGGTTATTCCAAGGAATGGGTATCTTCACCTTACAGACCTGCCTATTGTTCGGCTGAAAATTGAGCCAAGGGGGTGAGTTCCAGGATTAAAGGGTAACTCAAGAGTCCTCCATAGTCTTGGGAATTCCGTCAGTTTTTATTAGACCAGTAAATCAGGCCTTTCCCCCTGCTTGTTAGTTTTGTTACATTTTTATCCCTGCCCAGGAACCTTTACTGTGACTTCTTTTAAAGCAAGAAATACAATCTGCGTTTCTTGTTCCAAGAAGAAAAAAAAAACCAGGCTGAGGGATCTATTCTGAATCATGACCACCTAGGAACGTCAGAATGGGAGTGTGCTCAGTAGGATTTTCAGTAGTTCCTGATAATAGATCGCCAGGCCATGTTTATCAAAGGATATACCAGGTTCGACCACAAGAGGGCGACGCACGTTCCTCACAGAGAGGCCCGAACGGCTCCCCGCCGCCCCCAGCACCCATTCCTTCCGGGGGCCTCTCCCTAAAAAACCCCGGAACGAGGAGAGTTGTTTTCTCAGCTAGACTTCCAAGAATTCTAGTTCCGTCATGAGCTAAAATGTTTTGAAAATTGCACAGGCAGAAGGACTGCCTCCACTGATCTGCCAGCCAAGGCTTTGACGCGATGTTGTTATTCAACTAGAAAAACAAAATGCCGTCCTTTTCTGAGTCGTTTGCATCTTTGTGGAATTGGATGGCCGGCGTGTCTATAGGACGGATTAAAGATAAACTTGGCTCTTGGCTTCAAATTTTGCAAATAATCACATCCCGAGTAACTGTTAAAGAAACTGTCCTGCAACACTAATTACAAAAGGATCAAGCAGAGACGGGGTCCCACCAGAGCTCCACAGGTGAAACAGGTGTAGATCAGAACAGATGAAACAAGTAGCTCTGAGAGGACAATGTTCAGCTGTAAACTACCCAGCTAATTCAGGGTAGGAAAGGATGAGAAAGAGCCAGCAAGTGGCAAAGGTCTGGGGAGGAAGCAAAATAAAGGAAGGAGGGGGGAAGAAGCATAAAAAGGGTCACCTCTGGGGAGAAAGGAGTTAATCCAGCCTTTGACTCTGGAAGGAAAGGGAGGAGCAGCTGGATCAAAAGCAGATTAGCTGAACCCCGCAACGAAAACAACAGGCCGTCGAGGCTAGAATAGGGTTAAGGAGGCGGGCCCAGAGGGAAGCCACGTGCCGGGGCGAAAGGTTATTGGTTCTCCCGTAGTTGTTTGTGCACGGCCATTGGCAGCGTCATGGCGCCGCGGCGAGTCGATTGGCTGGGGCGGGGGCGGGGGCGGGGGAGGTGGCACCGAGGGGCTGAGCCGGGCTGAGCAGGTCGGGCCGAGCTGGGCACGAGCGCGGCGCGTGCAGTGACGGAGCTCGAGCCCGAGCGGGGCCGCCGCCGCCATGCGCTGGGTCCGGGCGCTGCTGAAGAACGCCTCCCTGGCAGGGGCGCCCAAGTACATCGAGCACTTCAGCAAGTTCTCCCCGTCGCCGCTGTCCATGAAACAGTTTCTGGACTTCGGTACGAAGAGGGCGGGAGGCAGCTGGCAGCGGGGCTCCGCGAGGGGCGACTGGGAGGTGGTTGGGAATCGTGTGTGTGTGTGTGTGTGTGTGTGTGTGTGTGTGTGTGTGTGTGTGTGTCTGTCTGTCTGTGTGTCTGTGTCTGTCTGACAATGGAGGATTCACGGGGCGGAGAAGAGAGGCCCTGAGTGACGAAGATGGGTTTCCTGGAAGAGGACGGGCAGGAAAAGGTTAAGGAGTTGACAGGGAGCGGCGTCAGCCTGGAAGGGGTTAAGGGCGCCCGGCTGGAGGGAGAGTCTGGATTGGACTACTGATGGGAAAGGGGAGTCCAGGGTTTCTTCCCCGGCTTTGCTCATCAGGGGTCTTGGGGAGTAAGGACTCTGTGTGTGTTGGAGGGAAGGGGGCGTTATCAGGGCAGAAAAGGCAGTTGAGTGGGATCTTGGTGTTCCAGGGTAAATGGGGTTCTTCTAAGAATGAGGCTCCAAAGGAGATGGGGGCAGTAGTAACCAGGCAGAGTTGGGGAGGTGTAGCCATCTGGAACGAGGCCTGACTTCCTGGGCAGAGAGTGAGAGAAAATGAGGGGCCAGCGTGGCTAGGGGGCTCTCAGAAGATGCCAACCAGAGGGGACCCTTGATCAGTTTATGTCCACCCGTTTAAGGAGCTGGCCCCAACAGTCCCAGTGGGCAAGGACACTTGAAGATCAAAGCTGCCCCGGCCAGGCACCTTGAAGTAAAGCCTGGTACCTCGGACCCACCCTTGGCTGCCCCTGGGCTGGACCACCCACCACCAGTGTCTGGGATTACCTCTGGGCAGGAACAAGGCTGTGCCAGCGTGGCAGCTGAAGTAGGCATTGTATGGGCATTATGTGTCCAGAAATGGCATTTCTGCACTGCCAGCTGGAGGTTAGGAGGGGTATCCGGGATTCTGGAGGAGACCACATTGGTGGCAGTGTTTAAAACCCCTGACTACTAACCCTAAAGTCAGTGGTTTGAATCTACCATTTACTCTGAGAAAGAATAATGTGTAAGAATCTGCTTTCATAAAGGTTTACAGCCTCAGAAACCTTCTGGAGCAGTTCTACCTGGCCTGTAGGGTTCAGTGGCTGTAGCGTTTCTGACCCAGGTCTCTGCAAAGTTGAGTTGCTTTTCTCAGGTTACAGCTATGTCACTGGGGTGGGAGAGGATGGGGGGGTTGAGTGGGGTGGAAAGTGGCAGCCTGAACATAAGGGCACATTTGCCAGGACTTGTTTGCCCACCGCAGCCCTGGCTTCTCTTGCATCTTGAGCTTTACCCATATGAGAAGATGTCTTGGATCCCCTCATTTATCCAGCACAGCCTGGTCCCCAATTAGTAAATGTTACAGCTAAAATGGGCTCATAGTTGGGTTCAGCCCATTCTTAGTATGATGGAGACCGAGATAATGATATGTCCTGGATGATAAGGTTGGAAGCAGAGCCTGGACTAGAACCCAGGTCTTGTAACTCTGGGCCATGCCCTGGTCAGTTCTCTACACCCTTAATCTTGACAGTAGAAGGGACTTGGGCCACCATCCTTGGTCTCTGCGTGCCTTGCAGGTAGGTACTAAAGCAAGGGGCCAGTCTGCAGTGGGCATCAGGACCTGAGCAAGAATGAACCGGGCCAGAGACCACACTGGGACCCTGAGCCTCAGTGACCATGACTTAGCTCCCCACCCTGGAGAGAGTGAGATTTTCCAGATTCCTCTGCCCCCCACCCCCAGGAGCCCTGATGGCATAGTGTATAGTGTGTCAGGTCACTAGCCAAAAGGGCAGTGGTTTAAACCTACCAGTTGCTCCACGGGAGAGAAATGGGCAGACTCTTTCTAGAAAGATATCTAGTCTCCGAATCCCAAATGGAGGATAGCCATGAGTCAGAATCGGTCTCACAGCAGTGGCTTGAGTTTGATTTGGGTCTGCCCACCTGGATCAGTGCCACTAAATAAATGGCGGGGAGGGAAGGAAAGAGAAGAGTGCCATGACCTAGGCCAGAGGCAGCTCCAAGTGGGCCCAGGTAAGGCCCATCCTGGCTGAGGGGAAGGTCACCTGGAGGTGGAGAGGGGACACAGCCCCCAAGAGAGTCCAGCAGGATGTGAAGAGGTCTGAGCATGCAGAAGAGGCAGAAAGCTTGCTGTGTGTTCTTGGACGGGTTACTGCCTCTCACAGCCTCAGTACATGATGATCTTGTCCGACCCAGATGTTGCAATTTTGGGACTTACCCTGCTTTCCTCACACCAGGGTCCAGCAATGCCTGTGAGAAAACCTCATTCACCTTCCTCAGGCAGGAGTTGCCTGTGCGCCTGGCCAATATCATGAAAGAGATCAACTTGCTTCCTGACCGGGT